GCCTGGGTGGCTCAGTCGTTAAGCGTCTGCCTTCGGCTCAGGTCATGATCCCGGGGTCCTAGGATCGAGCCCCGCATCAGGCGCCCTGCTCAGTGGGAAGCCTGCTTCTCCCTCTCCACTCCCCCTGCTTGTGTTCCCTCTCTAGCTGTCTGTCAAATAAATAAAATTCTTTAAAAAAAAAAAAACAAAAACAGAAATCAAATGGCCCACATAAATATGAAAAGGAGCTCAACACCACTAATAACCAGGGAAAAATGAGAACTAAAACCATAATAAAATACCACTGCATATCTACCAAAATGGCCAAAATCACCACCACCAAAAACACCAGGTGGTCAGAGCAGACGGAGTGCTGCCAGGAGCCTATGGACTAGGCGTCCACTCAGTATAGTCTGTAGAAGTCTGACCGGTTCTTGTGTTTATTACCTGCTTTTCATTCCTGTTCAGAGTTGGGCCATTTGCGTTTTCTGGAAGATTTCCCTTAGGAGCCCTGGAAAAGACCAACACTCATTAAATATTCCAGATCCTACGTCCAAATGCACAAACGATGTATACGGAAATAGCTGTAACCATACTGTCTACTCATGAGTGTCCGAAGTTTATCCAACTACAATCTAAAATTCTTTATTTTCTGGTTGGAAATGTTTCAGTTTTATTACCTCTGTGGAGGGGAACTCTCTCAAAAAATTTCAGACATGCCTGGAAAGATGGCCAAGAAATTAGGGGTGCCTGGGTAGCTCAGTTGGTTAAGCATCTGCCTTCGGCTCAGGTCATGATCCTGGGGTCCTAGGATCGAGCTCGGTGAGAGGATCCCTGCTCAGTGGGGAGTCTGCTTCTCCCTTTGCCCCTTCCCTTCCCGCTCTCGCTGCTTGAGCACTCTAATAAATAAAATCTTAAAAAAAAAAAAAAAAATTACCTTGCTCTTACCTTTCTAAAGACAAAGACACATGGTTGTGTGGCGCCATCTGGTGGCTCCAATGTATTTTACCACAGCTCCCCGTTCTAGTCCACATTTTTGTTCTTGCAAAGGAGAGGGGTTTCTGATCATCTGCCACCACAGTCCAAGTACAGTGCAGCAGGGCTAACGCTTCCACGGCATCAATCCCAAACCTATGTACTTTTTCATAACGGGACTGAGCAACTTTCCATGTTTAATGGACAATTTCCCCTCTTTTATGTAGCATTTAAGTCTTGCCTGTTTTCCCACTGAATGTTTTTTCTTTGTGCACACAGAAGTACTTTATGTATTCTGGATACTGGTCCTTTGAAGGGTATATGAATTACATTGTATTTTCCAACCGTATGGACTTCTCTTTTTTTAAAATGGTATTTTAGGATAAACCTGCCATTTCCTTTAAAGTTTTCTTACAAGGCTCTTATTTAAGAAATCCTTCCCACTTCGGAGATTTTGTTAAAATCGTATTTCTTCTGTAAGCCTTTGGTACAACTTTTTGATAAAGCCATCCAGGCCTTCAGTTTTGTTTGCGGGAAGGCTTGTACAATGAGATTCCACTCCTTTAATAGCTATAGTACTGAATTTTCCTTCTTGTTAGTTTTGCAAAGTTGTTCTTTTCTGTGAATTTATTTCATCTACATTTTAGTTATTGAAAGTGTCTCATAGTCTTTAATGACATTAATCATAATCATTTTTTCATTCCTTTTTTTTTTCCACTCCTAATGATAGTTTCGCTATTGTTCTTTTTTCTTGGTCATTCCCAAGAGATTAGCAATTTTATTAGTCTTTTTAAAGAACTTAGTGCTTTGTTGATCCTTTCGGGGGCATCTTATTTATTTCATTACCTTGTTATTAATTTCTTTCATTTATTTGAATTTAATTTGCTGTTACTATTCTGGTTTCTTGAGAAGAATGTTGAATTCATTTTTTAGCCTTTCTATAGTTAGGGCTATAAACTTCCTCTTTAAGTATGGCTTTAACCTCAAACCAAAAGGTTTTGATATTCGTATTTCCACTTCCATTCAGTTAAACTTTCTACTTTCCACTGGGTTACTGAGGGAAACATTTCTTAACATCCAATTTTTATAATTTCTGTTACTAGTTTCTTGTTCAATTCTGTACAGAGAACCTTCTCAGGAGTTCAACTTTCTGCAATTTGTTTCTCTATGGCTTAACGGAGCCAACTTTGATCAATGCTCATGTTCACCTAGAAGGGATATATATTTTAGAGTTAATGATTAGTGTTCCACAGTCCATTAGTTTATTAAGTTTGTTAACTGTATAGGTCTTGTCTTCTATATCCTTTAATGATTTTTTTTTGGTGGTGGGGGGGTTATGTGTGTGTCTGCTTCTGTTATTTACTGAGAGAGTTATATTCAATTTTTATATACGGACTTCCACTTCTGGTCAAGATACAGTAAAACTGGCACTTTACCCTCATGCCTCTAGTGACTAAAAAACCAGACAAAACATGTAAAACAATGCCATTTAAGACACTGGACATCAAGCACTGAAGGACATTAATCCTTGAAAGCACAAGAAGCAAGACCTGAGCCTTACCACTGCCCCAGTTTACCACCTGAAGAAAATTTCCAGGCCATAATGCAAGGAAGGGGAAACTGAGGAGGAGCTCATCAGTGTTCCAGAGCTGAAGAGACAGGTGAGAGTCCAGAGAGGTGCAAGTGGCTAGAGTTCAATCTTCCAGAAACTTTGAGAACAGAGAGGATAATTTCCAGCTCTTTCCATGAGTCTAGTTTAATATTAATACCAAAACCTATCAAGGGTATTACAAGAAAGGGATATTATAGACCATCTCTGCCGAACATAGATGTAAAATCCTAAACAAAATATTGCAGAATAAACCCAGAAATATGTAAAAATAACCTATCATAACCAAGTGGTGTTTACTCTAGCAAAGAGGAAGGTGAAGTGGGGAGCAGCGGTGGTGGGACAGGGAGGGACACTAGGAAATCTATCATTAACAACACTTATGGTACAAGAAAAATAATTCTATCATCTCAACGGATTCAAGAAAAGCATTTGACATTTCACTACATCACACATACACTTAGCAAATTATAAATAAAACATCTTTAAATTCTTAAAGAATACTTACAAAAACCCCATAGCAATCATTACGATCGATGGTTAATCGTAAAGTTTTCCCCCTTAGGTGAGGAACAAAGAAAGGTGATTCCACCTGGACCACTTCTACTCAACATGGTACTAACTAGTACCGTGACCAGGGCAAGGAGGTGAGAAATAAAATAAAAGTCATTATAAGCACAAGAGAGGAGTATCTAGAAAAACCCCAAAGAATCACAAACCTAGAATAAATGAATTAAGATTGCTAGATACAAGGTCATTATAAAACAACTATATTTCAATATTTTAGCACACATTTTAAAAAAGAACTTAAAAAGACACTTCACCAAAGAGAATATCCAAATGGCCAGTAAGTATTCGAAAAGATTCTTATTTGCATTATTAAGTCATTGTGGAAATTAAAGTTAAAACCACAGTAAGGTACCACATTTGTCACAATGTCTGAAATGAGAAAAATGGAAAATATTAAGTTTGGCAAGGCTGATAGGAGTGTCCCTTCTGTAAACACTGGGAAAAAACAGGCTCACTAAGCTGCTGCAGGGCATGCCCCTGGGGTGGCCAATCCCTCCTGTCTTGGTTTATCAAATGCTTCTGGGGGGATGGGAGGAGGTGGTCCTGAGGTGTCCTTGTGGACTAGCACATCCTTTAGTTACCCGTCCCGGGTCGCCAGTATCAGACAAATACAGTAACGTGTATTACTTTCCTAGAGCTACCATAGATCAGCAGGACTCGGGTGTCCTAATTAAAACAGGCCGGAAGTCCCAATCAGCGTGTCGTTCAGAGGTGTGAAGGAAGAATCTCGTCTCTAATAGTTGCTGGAGGCTGCTGTTCTTTCTCTTGTGGCTTCTCCTCTCTGCCATCCTCATGCTGCCTTCTCCACTAGGTCTGTTGTATCTTCATCTCTCCCTTAGAAAGACACTTGTCTTGGCATAAAGGGCTCATCCAGATAATCCACTGTAATCTCATCTCAGAATGCTTCATTACCTCTGCAAAGACCCTTTTCTCAAATACAGTAAACGTTTACAAATTCTAGGGATTAGGGCTAGATGTTTTTAGGTAGCCAGCACTCAACCTACTGCATTTGTGTGTCGGATTTCTAAGTAAAAGAATGAACCGGGGACACTTGTGCAGAGAGGGTCAGGGGAAGGACCGGCCTGGGGAAAACCTGGTGTGTGTGCTGGGAGGGGGTTAACAGGGAGGAGAGAGAAGCCTTACCTCTCATGGGAGTAACATGCCCTAGGCACAGAGTGAGGACTGGAAAAATTTTAGGAAGGAATGCTAGAGCAAAATTTCCTCCTCCTTCGCCGAGGTCCTAGGATCTGATCCCCTGAAACTGCTGCATTTCTTGCCACGAGGGGGGCGCTGTGGCAGACCAAGCGAGGTGCCCATTCAACAGCCATTCCTTCCCACTTTTATTCTGGGGCCATCGATGGCTCAGCTAGGAAAGCTCACTTCCCAAGTTTCTTGCATCCACTGGTCATGGGACCCACTTCTGACTAGTGAGATAAAAGAAATATTAAGTGCAGCTTCTGGAAAAGCTGCCATTTTGCTATAAAAAGGGACACCCATTTGCCCTTTTCCCCCTCCGCCCTTCCTGTGAGGCCCAGGTGATGTCGGGCGATGTAAATGCCGCCCTGAGTCCCTGAGAGCACTGTGCACTCACTCACTCAGTCAGCCCTGGGCTTTCCTGTTCTGAGAAACAAGCCCAAATGTGGATTAGCCGGTGTTATTTGGTTTGTCATCAAACACACTTTTTAAAACCCAAAAAAGGAGATTAAGTATTTTATAGACACTACAAAGTCAAAAATAATTGGATCATTCCTATTTCTCTGGGGACCTAAAAAATAAGGCCTTCACACCAATGCTAGCCCCACACTGGCCCTCTTGAGTGACCGGGTGTAATTATTTTATCTGTGTATGAAATAAAGAGCAGAGAAAGTTAATGTAGATTCTTTATTGATTCCACCAATGTATTAGTAGATATGATAATAATAAATGGTACTTTTACATTCTCTTAACCAAAAATATAACAAATATTTACACTCAGTAAAAATACAAAAAGCATACAGAGGCACTGTCTTTCTAAAAGACATAAGTTTAAGAGGTATCAAAAAATAGGAGACAAACATTGCTCGTTACAGGATATTTTACAATCACTGAATTGTGCAGTATAATTGCATTTGATTATTACAACTGTGCAGTTTTGTTTTTTTTCTGATAAGCTCACGTTTCAATTTTAAAAGACCAAGTACAACTGCATACTGTGTATCAAAAATAAAGAAGCCTTAAAAAAGCACAACAAAAGCGAAAGATGAACTGGGGTTCAAGTTTAAATTTGAAAATGTACTGTGACACTTTTTTGAAGATTCATCCTCCTGTTCTAGCCTTTAAGGTAATGCTAAAGGGATACATCTACTTTAATATCACATTTTTTAGAAACAAAATATATCAGAATAACAATCATTATCATTGTTTTAAGTGTACAAGGAAACGCTTTCTCCTCTTCTTTTTATAGGGAAGAGAACACTTTATAAAAATTAGGTTTGTTCTTGGAAATCCTCATGATTACTGCCACATTTCCGGCCTGGGAGATGCTCAAGGAGGTTATACTGATGACCACAGTGTGACTTACCACCCTCATGAGAAACCAGTTAAGACTTTTTCCTCCCCAAAGATCAGATTCAAAGTAATCATTTGGAGGAAGAATCTACTACTTAAAACAAATCTTTATGGAAGTATATAGTGGATTTACTAATGGACCAAATCTTTCATTATGAACAAAACTGTTTTGTTGAAACTTATTTGGCAAAACTTTGCACTGTGGATTTAGTGCTTCAGGAAGTCCTGACGGATTCAGAGCTGAGGTGGGATGAGGGCACTAGTCTCTTCAATAAAGTTATAAATTTATAATAAAAACAAAAACAAAAATGGGGGCTTAGAATTGGAGCAAATATAGGTTAAGGCTTCTCTTGTTCTAGTCATGTAACAAACTAAGAGAAGGCAGAAATGTACCCTAAATTAGAATTAAGATATAAAAATCACAATTCCACGAGTTTTTAGGGGATACACACAGATCAAACTACAATGCATTTGGCTTTAGTTCCTGATCACTGTGATCGGCTTACCCCAACACTCACAGTTGGAGCTAGAGGAAAACAAAGGCAGCTACAAGGTGCAGTCAAAATCACATCCTCTGAATCTGTGCAAGATATTCTCAACACCATTAAGGACAAAGACAGGTAAGGCTCCCATTTGATTTCAGACACCTGCAAATAAATAGATACTGTGCAAACAGCACATTTTTTCTGGGGTAATGGATATAAAATAGAATAAATACCCAAACTTGACAAAAAAGGGGATTATAACAGAAGTATCTTTCATTTTCTTTGTTTCGCCCTGGACATGAAAACACTACTACGTCAATCAGTGAAGGAACATTTTTTTGTGATCAGAGGACCAGTGTTTATAGGTTAAATCACTACAGTGTGACTTTCAAACCAGGGCTTTTGATCCAGGCCATTTTCCATGTCAGTGGAACAAGAAAGCTATAGAGCCAATTAGCCTCACTCTAACACACCTGGAGGGTGGATTTTTAAGGCTTTAAGTTTCAAATTCATGGGGGTTTTTTTTGCCCAAAGGAATTTTTCAGATAAGCTATTTTTCCTAAAATGAAGAGAGAGTCATTTTGATGTAAAAGACAGACTAGTGCCATTGACCACTCGGAAATGATTTACGATTTTAAAATGAAGGGGATGAGGGGTAGGGTGGGCGCCTAGCTGGCTCAGTTGGTAGAGCACGTGACTCTTTATCTCAGGGTCACAAGTTCAAGCCCCATGTAAGGCGTGGAGCCTACTATGAAAAAAAAAAAAAATGAAGACAGGGAGAAAGAGAGGGAAGAAATAGCTAGGGAAAAATGAGAACAAACTCTCGAAAAGGGAAATCACAAACCAGCTAAACCCTATAAATTCACATATGGACAACCATTCAGAAGTAAACCCATCTTGGCTCCATGTTAATCTGGGTAGTGCACATGAATGGCTTTGGCTTTTTTTTCTTTCTTTCTTTTTTTTTTTTTGGTAGTCATCACAGAAGTTTATTAAGCTCTCACATTTACATTAAAAATAATAAATTTAAACTTAAGATATAGAAAACACTGTATTTAATTAGTAAAAATATGGAAAGTCTAGGTCATCCAGTAAACAGTCACTGAAATTTTAATTAAATACTTGGGAGCGCCATGCCCAAGAGGCTGTTAAAAATATGTATCTCTTTCCTCTCAAGGGCTAAACTGAGAACCAAGAGAGAATCATTTCCCAGCTCCTCTGTCCCCCCTAAAATTTTCAACCACTTATCACCTCGGTGTGCTCATGAGCTTTCTTGCAGGCAGCTGGGGGCTGCAGGGTTGTTCAGTGTTGAACACAGCCTCATGCTGAGATGGGGTGCAGGGGCGGCTGCAGAACATACATGCAGATGAATTCATCTCCAATGTTACACACCAATAATTACATTTCCTTTTTAAAAAAGAACTCCACATCTGAGCAGTGAAAAATTTTTGTTTTGGGTTTCTGCAGAACTCTCCTGAACTCATTTTCTACTTAATGGATTTATACTTTTAGTTAGATGCAGCATGACTTTCACTTTAGAAAGGACTGGTATACATGTTTTTTAAGATAAAATTTCATTCTTTGGAGATGAGGGTGGCTACCCACCCAATCACAGCCTCCCTGTCCCAAAGGACGGATAAGAAACCCCGTGGCAGCTTCATCTGGCCTTCCAAATCAGCTGACTGCAGTATCTTCCTTCCTAACTCCTCAACCACAAAGGGCTTCCTATCCCACTCAAATGGAGACCGACCCTACATTGCACTGGTGCCACAGATCAAGTTCATCTCTGTACAGATTAAGTATCATCCTGTAAAGATGACTTCAGTCTGGTCAGACCAGAGACAGTTTAATGGCCTCAAACATAAACATCCGCTCATGACAGCTCCCCAAAACAAAGAAAACCACAAAACTTAAAATAATAAGTTACTTTTCAAATACACAAGAATATCCTTGGTATTGGCAGACATTTTTGAATTTGTCCGTTAACCCAAGCTATGGCTTGGAAAAACTACTAAACTACTATCTTAAAAATAACTTGTTAAAGAAAAATCTATACTGATATACACAGGGAGGACTCTTGAGTTTGAACCTGTTCTAGTAACTGTGGTCCCAAGGCAGGTCTGGTGTGCGACGTGAAGACTGGTTTCCAGGCACAACATCCATAGCTGAGGAAAACTCTGCATCTGCAAGGATTCAATAAGAGGGGGCTAGGTAATTGCTCCGAGCACAGGGAACGAGACCTCTGGGTCAGCAGCGGCGGCAAGCTGTTCGGTGGCAACAACGGCCCGCGGAATCATGAGGTGCTTCTGCCCACTCCTTCCTCGATGGTTTCGGTAAACTTCAAGCGGGTCCTCCAAAGCTTACACTGCTGAGACCTGTTCATTTTCTGAAAACAGTAAGGACACCATTAAGTGGTAGATGAGGCTTGTTAATGAAGATCAACTTAAAATCTAGTCACCTGCTTAGAAAATTAGTCACTCTCAACAAAGAAATCCTCTCAAATACCCCATCAAGGCCCAGATTTTATTACAACGTTGAGTGCTGATGGCACTGCGGACTGACCGACGGCAATGCCCTAACCGCTTCCTCGTCGCTTCATTACTGCTTGAAGGGATAGAATTTCATTTATTTTTAATAAAGCTGCCCCAGCTGCAGTCAGTCAAGAGTTCCACTGGTAAGAGGAGCTATACCAACAGCACAATTTCAGGTAATCAGGCCTTTGAAGTTTTCATGCCTTAACGTAAGACGCAGCTCTGCTAAGGTCAAGTGCCTCTTCTCAAAATGACTGTCTCAGACTGAGCTGCTGTTGGGCAGATAGAAGAAGACCCTATGTGATCAGGAAGAAGGGTACTGGGCACACAGAAACATGCAAGTTACTCCATTTAAAATATACACCATCATACTGAGGAATTTCTTTTTTTTTTTTTTAACAGAGATTGCTAAGGCATTTAGAAGTAAACATTAATGACTATATGAAATAACAGAGTAAACACCAATTCATGTATTCAGCAATTCATTTAAGACCCATTAAGGTAGTTTGTCAACATACCATCTGCTTCGCTATCTGCATCAGTCACATCTGCTAGTTTAGGATGGGACGGCTGCAAAATATGCCTCTGAGGCTGAGTTACAATCCTCGATGGAACACAGGCCACGGGGCTGCTACCGAGAGAAGCTGGTGGCCGTCTAGAGAGGCTGTCATGCATCATCTTTGACCTCTGCACTGCCACACTATAATCTGGAGGTTTTAGGTGTAGGTAGGGTCCTTCCTTTAGGTCCGCTAAAGAAATCCCCATGTATCCTGGAGGAGTGGGAGGTGGCTCCCTATACCTATCCTCCTTCTTGGGTGAGGTGACACAGTACACTGGCATGAAAAACAAGCAATGGAAATGTTAATGGAAAATGTAAGAAACGAAAAAAAAAAACATACTGAAACTTATTACAATGACAAAAGAGAACTCAAAAATAGACTAAACGAATATATTTGAATACAGTGACAGCAGATTAAAAACATAATATTTAAAACTTATTATTTAAACTTGTTTTTCAAACACATAAATCACATTAGGTCTTATAAACAAAACTAGAGTGACAGAGGCAGTTGAAAGAAGGGGCACGGTGACAAGCTCTCCTCTGCAGTGGAGCCCCCCCAGTTCAGAGACAGCTGCCTGGCTCTTCAGGGACACCAGCCCCGGGGACGACATGGTCAGAGACATTCTATGTTCTGCCGACGGGGAGGATTTTCGCAGAAATGACATCTGGACTGTCCACCCTGAACCTGAGACACAAACCACTGCTTTACAGCACTCCTGCGGAAACTACCTGTCGGTCCTGGCATATCAACAACATGAACTTCCCGGGTACAGAGGACCTAATTCCTTCAAGGACCTACTGCTAACTTCTGATCTGTGACCAAGTGAAAAAGAAAAGAAAAAAAAAAAAAAAGCCATAATTTTAGGAAATCCATCTTAAATTTCTGTGATTTTCAGTGCACACTCAAAATAATCGTGACTTTAAAAAAAAAATGTGACTTAGAATCCTTTTCCCTAAGTTTGTAGACCATGAGACAAAGGCAAAGTTTCAAAAAGCTTCAGAAATAGGTTAAAGAAAGCAGAAGTTCCATGACATTAAGACCAATTCCCAGGATCTAAGGGACAAACGGCTCTGATGACCTTGCTGATGTAACTTTTAAAACACAAACACAACCTACATATAGGCAGAATAAATTAAGAAGGACCACTGATGGGGCACCTGGGTGGTTCCATCGTTAAGCGTCTGCCTTCAGTTCAGATCATGATCTCAGGGTCCTGGGATCGAGCCCCGCATCGGGCTCCCTGCTCGGCGGGAAGCCTGCTTTTCCCTCTCCCACTCCCCCTGCTTGTGTTCCCTCTCTTGCTGTGTCTGTCAAATTAATAAATAAAATCTTTAAAAAAAAAAAAAGGACCATTGATAATTCTAATGTTAACTCCTTTTTTAGACAACCAGGTTTGTCCATACTGAAATTTCTACAACTGTACCAGCAAAATCTGCATGGAGTATAAGGTCCTAAAGAATTTCCATTCCCACCTGAGAGGATGGGGCAGGGACAGGATGGAGAAGTCAGCAAGACCAGTAAGACAAGAATGAAGAATTTAAGCCCAGAGTCATCTATAAATGAAATCAAATATTTTTAAAAATCTAGTTTCCTAACTGGACAGGAGATTAATTTCATATCCTTGCACACACATGTTTAGATACCCATATAACGGTTACCCAGAAGGATTTAATAAAAAAATCCTTGGAAAAAAAATTAACAAGCTAAAAACCCCAATCTATAATGCAATTTGACAAGTAAAAATGTACTATAAATGTGCTATAAAAATCAGCACATATTTTAGTAATTTTTTTTTTTTTAAAGATTTTATTTACTCATTTGAGACACAGAGATAGAGAGAGCGAGCATGAGCAGGGGGAGAGGCAGAGGGAGAAGCACCTCCCTGCTGAGCCAGGAGCCCGATGTGGGGCTCGATCCCAGGACCCTGGGATCATGACCCAAGCCGAAGGCAGATGCCTAACCATCTGAGCCACCCAGGCGCCCCAGTAATTTTTTTTTTAAGATTTTATTTATGTATTTGAGAGAGAGAATGAGAGAGAGAGAGAGAGAGCACATGAGAGGGGGGAGGGTCAGAGGGAGAAGCAGACTCCCTGCTGAGCAGGGAGCCCGATGCGGGACTGGATCCTGTGACTCTAGGATCATGACCTGAGCTGAAGGCAGTCGCTTAACCAAATGAGCCACCCAGGTACCCACAGTTTTAGTAATTTAAATTGACTTCATGAATATGTTATACAGTTGATTCAAAGTACAGTCATTCCATATAAATAGAAAAGCAGGGGCTATTATATCTAAATATTTATGTAATTCAATGACAAAATGAAAAAATGTACTTGATGGCTAAATACTAAAAGAATACATACAACAAAAAAGCTGTGTGTGGTCAGAATGGAACCTACAACAGGAGTTGGCATACCCATGACGTGTACTAGGAGGATATACTGAAAAATATTTTGGACTTCCTTTTTTATCACAATGTTCCTCACTTTTATTACTTAAAAATGTCAGATTCAAAGTTTCTACCATGTATACACAGCAATTGTGGTCCAAACAATTTATGAGGTGACAAAGAGAATAACCCCTTTGTTAGGACTGCATAGTAATACAATCTTTCCTCAATGAAACCAAAGAGATCTCAAAAACAAAACACAAATGAAACTGTTACGTTAATTAATTACCTTCATACCAGCCCTTTCATTTTAATAGGCTTGAATACCTGCCCCCAAACCCTTGAGAAATCATCAACTTTTTGAAAATAATTTGTTTGTAGAGGGCAGGAAGAGAGTGAGAGAAGAAATATTTCCAGTGAGAGAAGAAATATTTCCAAGAGTAAAATTTTGGGCCAAGGTATCCCAATGCCACTTTTTGCCACTTAATCTCTAAATTCCACAGATACGACAGAGAACAAAGAACTTACCAATCAGGCCCTTTTCTGTACTTGAAGTAACAGTTTTGTAAACTGGGTCAGTGCCATCCTTGGGGTCCAAGCCTTCAGAGGACTCAGGTGCGATGCTCTCCAACACTCTCCGTTTAATAGTCCCGTAGTTTGGTTCATGTGTATCAGACAGAGAACTGGAGGAGGCCCAACTCTGTCTCATCTGATTAGCCTCTAGGTTTCCTTTACACTGACCACAAGTTCTAGAGCAGCCTTTAGGGCAGGAATAGGGCTCACAGTCAGGGGGTTCAACTTCAGCAATGGGGCCATCCAAATGGGTATGTCGGTAAGAGTTCAAAAAATCCCAGCCTTTTGGGTTTGGAAGGCTTTGGAAGTTGTCATGGGAGCTGCTTGAACAGGAAGTCCAACTTCCACGACCACTATCCGCTGCTTCTAAAATGACGTGCTCGTGAGAAATCTCTTCATTACTCATAGAAGAGGAGACAGCTAAACTCTTGACGAGAGATGGCTTTGACAATGTCCACCTAAAAAATTGGGGATACACTTAAGTTAAAAGTAATTTACTGGCTTACTGGAAAAACCTTCTGTCCAATCCAAGTATTACTGCCTACAAAAGACTACAGAACATGCATCATAAGTGTTCAATGCCAAAATAATCTTGTGAAAAAAAAATGACACTGTAATCAATTAATCTCCATTCCTATTAATGTTCATACTTAGCTAGAAACATACATGGAAGAAACTCAAATACTTAAGCCAAGTTACCTCAGAAATTTTTCTTGAATTGATATTAAATGAAAATGAAAAATGAGGCTTGAAATGAGTAAAATTAAGTATACATTTTCATTCTTGGTCAACATATTGCTAGACTCTACATGGATACAGAATAAAGAATTCTCAACTACATGTTCTCAACCATGTTTGGTTTTTCAATGTAACTCTGAGGTTAGCCTAATACAGTGCCAAGTAAACAGTAACTTCTCCAACCAACTAACAACTGTAAAATGAGTATTATTATTTATAGCAGGGGCCCCCAAATTAGGGTTCAGGGGCCAAATTCAGCCAATGGCATGATGTGGAGCAATGGCATGTATGGAGCAAAGCATGGTATTTTACATTTTAAAGAGTTTAAACAAAATAAAAATATTCCAAAGAATTTGAGAGTGAGAAAAATGTACTCTGCAAAGCCCAAAATTTTACAATCGGCCCTTTACCCTCCTTGTCCCCTGCCGGCCCCCACCAACAAAAAAAAAAGCTTACAAACCTTTCATTTACAATATAGAGCAGGTGTGGGCAAACTACAGCCCAAGGCCAAATCTGACCCTTAGCCTATTTTTGTAAATAAGATGTTATCGGGACACAGAATGCCCATTTGTTTATGAGCTGTATTGTCTAAGGCTGTTTCAGAGCAAAAATGGTAGGGTTGAGCAGTAGCAACACAGAATTCATGACCTGCAAAGTCTGATACTATTTAGTATTTAACTTTTAGAGAAAGGCTGGCTGACCCTTGGTCTAGAAAATCATAGTTTAAAAACCTTTACAAATTTGCTAATACTTCACTCTATCCTAATTTTTTCATATTAAAGAATACCAGATTTAACAATCATTTTAGAATCAATTTTCTCAAAGATTTCCATATTGCCTGATTCTAAATAGAAATTTACAGTTAACTTTGTGGACTTCTGCTAGCTGATAATTCTTACTCCCTAAATCACACTTTCAGATCAGGGACTGACCCCTACTCCCCCAACCTGTCTACAATGGATACAGCACTGGGAACACCTCCCATTACACAATCTTTCTGAGCATTCTCTAACTTAATAGCCACAACACAAGAACCACATCCTCCTAACTATAGCAGACTCACTGTGAGCTCTTATTAAATTGAAAACATACATGACAGAAAGTTACTTAAATTCATTTTTTCTTTCCTTTTTTTCCCCAAAGATTTTATTAATTCATGAGAGACACGGGGGTGGGGGGCAGAGGCAGAGAGAGAAGCAGGTTCCCTGCTGAGCAGGGAGCTCAACGTGGGACTTGATCCCAGGACTTCGGGAACATGACCTGAGCTGAAGGCAAACGCTCAACCATCTGAGCCACCCAGGTGCCCGAAAGTCACTTAAATTCAGTAAATACTTTAAAAATGAACACCCATTCATCTTTCAAACTAGTACTTACTTGCATACTCAAGACAGAAGACGCATGCTTGGCCCTCATATTATTTTATGGATCCCCCTGCAACCACCCCATGGGGACAGGGGTATCATCTAAGGGCAAGCTGGGGAGCACAGCTTGCAGAGGCCACTTGGCTTGGGTTTTGTGGTGTGAACGGGGGCAACTATATTTACCCAGAGCCAAGTTGAGTATGATCTCCTATCCCTGAGGAGTGTTCTGTCTTTTCCAAAGGCCCAGTGGACTCAGGGACCGCCACAACCTGTGAAGAACACCGTTCATCCTGCAGAGCTGTAGACATGGAGTCAACAGAACAATTGCTCACGATGCTGGATCGTGAAGAAATTTCACTATGGCTGGAGTCAGACAAGTTGTCAGATTTAGCTGACGGTATAAGTGTATAACCTAAACGAGAGAAAACAAGTGATTAAACTACAAAACAAGGAATCAGGGAGGGGTATGTGGTCAGGGAGAAGATGAAGAACAATAAAAGAGTAAGTAGCAATCTCATTTTCCATCCGTGTAGATATAATGATGCCAATTTCCTATACACATTGCCCTACATATCCACTCACCCACCTACCTATTCTGTACCAACCCGACTCCAAATTCAAGCAATACGAAGTCAAAATCCAGTATTACTGAGGAAACTAGTCCAAATGTATATCTGCCTTGGGCTCTCACATAGCTATAAACATTTAATAAAATAAGGCATTAGATGTATTTCAAAATATTAAAAAGCAGACATCTTGAGTTTCTCAACTTCTTTTTAACACTGTGCCCCCTTCTTCGATTAACATAAATATTTCATGGCCTGATCTGAGTGTCTAGAATACCACCTTGAGGTAAGGGTGGGTGAGGGAGTCAAGACTCCAGAGAAAGAACAGTATTTTTGCTTTTTACACTACATATACTTACCTCAGATATTCTGCTTATGTCACCTAAGGAGTCTTGCCCCAAGTTGAAAGCAATTATTTTCATATTTTTAAATAAACTGTGTTAGCTATGGATTTGATCTTATACCTGGTTTCCTTTTTCTTCACCAACTTTACAGAATATTGCATTAAACAGCAGAACTGCCACATTTATAAACATGTGTCACGAAAATAACAGCATCTGCCTGTTTTAAATTGTTCTATGATTTACTGCACAGCAGATACAGCAAGAGAGATTTTCTTTTCCATTCTCTGGAATAAATGGGTGGAGATGGAATGATGTAGAAGCATCTAAAAATAAATCTGCAGCATGACAGTTAAATGTACATAATGTCTATTTTGATAACTTAGAAAAGCAAACTTATTCAGAAATAAAAGGAAATGCCATAGTAATCCCAACAAGGAATAGGTCTCAAAGAACCAAACAATTATTTTCCTTTTCACTGGAAAAATGAGGTTCATAGGTAAATGACCATTAGGACAATCCTGAAAAATCTCATTAAGAAAAACTATAGGCTTTATATACACATATAACTCAAGTCATCAAAGAAAAAATTTGTTGAACACCAACCATATTAAGTAGTCCCAGTAATTATTTCAGAGAGAAAAATGAAGAGCCAGAATATGGGTTATTTCTCTGTGGCTTATGGGGCCCCCAGGCACAGGAGAAGTTGAGAAAAGCCAGGGTTTCGATCTTCTCAACATTGCCATTTCTCAGTGCCCTATTTAGGAGGTGATTGGTCAATTTTCAAGAGGACCAAGAAAATGGATTTGGTAAATTAAAAACAAAAACAAAAACAAATAAAATATAAAAATTCTTCCTTGAAAGAAAAAAAATCTTTGCTCTTTTATCTTGGGGGATACACTTGCTTTACTGTTTTAAAATTAAATCGGAGCGGGAGACGAACCATGAGAGACTATGGACTCTGAGAAACAAACTGAGGGTCCTAGAGGGGAGGGGGGGTCAGGAGATGGGTTAGCCTGGTGGTGGGTATTAAAGAGGGCACGTACTGCATGGAACACTGGGTCTTATACGCAAACAATGAATCATGGAACACTACATCAAAAACTAATGATGTAATGTATAGTGATTAACATAATAAAAAAAAAATTACATCCCTATGTCTGTTAGATCAGTGTTTCTCAATTACAATCAATTCTAAGAATGACCCGGAAAGGTTATTAGTATACATATTCTTGGGCCTCTTTCTGGCAATTCGAATTTATGAGGTTCATGGTAGAACACGGTAATTGTATTTTTAACAAGTTTCCAAATGATTTTTCACTTGCTATGTCAGACTATCTCCTTTTCCTGTCTGGATCAGAGATTTATATGAAAAGCAAATGAAATAAAAAGTATATGTGGACAAGATACAGTTTCTTGCCTTCTTTTTCCTTTAGCTTGTAAAGTAGTTGCAGTAATAAGAACAATAAAATTCTCTAAAGCAAAGGTGGTGATCAGATCATTACTGGGGGTTCTAATGCAAAAGTAAATACTGATTTCTAAAAAGTACCTCTACTTATTTCATTCACAGACCCAGCCGCTATCAGCAGGAAATAAAGCCAACTACAGAAAACAAGAGTATAAATTTTACTCACATTAGTAAAATAACATGTACAAATAAGGCACTTTAAATAAATACGACTTTGTTGCTAGAGTACCTTTAACACTAATCATGAAATGCCTATAAATCGTATTTTACACTAAGTTGTCTGCCTAAACTTTGATAAATAACTTAAGCTACATTTACATTAATAAATGAAAACAAGTTTAACACTAAAATTAAGTAAGGATCTCCGTCAGATTGTCTTTCTCCTTTTAGACTTGAATCGCGTATAGAAGCAGTTTAAAGTGTTACGGTTGCCTCCGCTATTTGAATTGAAGATGTCACTCCCTTTCTCATCTTTGATGTTGCTTCTAACATCCTTCACTTTCTCACAGCTTTCTGTAGCTTGATGGTGATCTGCGTCCTCTTTTTTGCTGTTGGCTAGTCTCTCCCTTGAAAGAGTTCTTTCCCTAAATCTTCTAAACGGGGATGTCATTCTTTTTCTGGCTGTGTTCTCACAACTTGTCCTGTCTCTATTCTCCTCAGTGGCCTTCTCGGTCCTGTCTGTTCTTTTGGCTGTGCTCCTGGTAATCTGAAGGATTTTCTTTTGCAAGTAAACCCCACCTATTCCGGGGCAGTTCTGGCCACTGATCTTGGTGCTGGACTCACTGGGAGGGGATGAGGAAGGCCCTGAGAGGCGCAGCAGGATGCTGAGATCAGATAGGATACTGCCAACTGGAGGGAGAGATGCAAAAACCCTGTCATGGTCAATTAATTCTTTCCAGTTAATCACAATTAGCCTGGTTTCTATTATAGAACATTTCACTATTAAAAAATTCAAACATTTTGACAATATTGGAAAAACTGAAATCTAGTAACGTATTCTTTACAGCACAGAGAGTCTACTATATAGCATCAACACTGCAGTCATTTCAAGACAGAACACAGGAGAAAAATTACCTTAATCAGAACAAGCTGGTAATAAAATACTGTTGAAAGTAAATGAAGCTTGTCATAAGGAAAAATATGACAAGAGTATGAGATAACCAGAATTATTTCTCAAAAATAACTATGTCTAGAATTTTCAGGCAGATTCTACTAAGAAAAAGCTTGGTAAAAACCAGACAGGACACATAAATAGTAAATACAATGTAAATATTTATAAAGCACAATTTCTGATCCTGTTTATCTCCAAGGGGAAAGGTTGCCTTCCATTAGCACAGGGGAAGATGAAGGTTAAGGCTGCCTGATGTCTCATTTTTTTAAAGTTCTTATTTAAAAAAAAAAAAAAAAAAGTTTTTGCTTATCTAAATTCCCCTTATGAAAAACATGAAGACAGGCTTATTTCCTTAAGTGTTAGGAAAGAGAATTCCGAAGCTCAGCAAGAACCTAATAATGTACTCTTAGTTTAATAGTATTTTGGGGGCACATGGGTGGCTCAGTCATTAAATGTGTGCCTTGGGCTCAGGTCATGAACCTGCTTCTCCCTCTCCCACTCCCCCTGCTTGTGTTCTGTCTCTCACTGTGTCTCTGTCAAATAAATAAATAAAATCTTTAAAATATATATATTTTTGTTCAGTTACAGACTACTGGCAAAATCATGTCCATGGAAAATAAAAGGGAATATAATAACTGGTGGGGTTTTGATAGAACATATGTAAGAACAATAAAAAACAGTTTTAAAGAAAATAATTTCTTCAGGTTTCTAAGGATCCTAAACATGTTTATGACAGTCTCCTGAAGCTATGAATGTCAAAGTCAATTGTTGACCACATGATGAAAGTCAAAATGGCAAAAAGACTTCTCGATTCTAGTGGTGAGGGTGGATTTTCCTTTGGGAATGAGAGCAATGGGGAAATTCTTCTTCCCGTAAGTCACATTCAGGCAAGAATACCGTATCCAATTCAACTAGTTTCCTGGTTAGAGAACTGTCTATAATGGGACCTCTGAACAGCCTCCAAAAGGTGTGGACCGTGTAAAGGTGTTCTTGATAGAGTGCTAAGAGCATGCGGCCACTGTTCATCAGGACCGTGTGTGTGACGGGATCCTCCTCTTTGACACTTCAGATAGGACCATGCAGACAGGAAAGAGATGAAACAGATCTGCATGCCTCACAAAATCATGTATGAGCTACATACCACAAGATCAGAAACCTGTGTTATATAATCATACCTGTTAATATCTACTGCTTATATGACCTATTTAATTTCTACTATTCTTTTCTTAGTAAAATCTGAATGAAAATTCTAGCTAGTCTTAGCTATGTGAAGGGGGATAGGGCAATGAAGTTAGCAATGAAGCTATGTTACCCTGGGGTGGCAGCAGGCAAAAAGACAACATACCTCAATTTACTAAACACTTCTCATCTATCAGATTTTATAAGTATTATTTCCTTTAACTTTGTATGAGGCCCCTAAAAGAGTTGGTCTTTGTCTCATCTTACGGGCAGGAAACCTGACCTTAGAAATCAGTTGGGCATAGTTACACAACTATAGTGGGGAAGAGAGTCAAAATTCAAACTCAGGTCTGACATCACTTACCACATCACTGCCACAAATGTGGCAGCGAATAAAAAGGAACCCTCAAAACTGAGATGAAGCTTAGAACATGGGAGCTAAGGAAAGCTCCGGAAGTTTCTCCTTTCTGCTAGAATTCATAAGGTTGTCTTCCCCAACCCCATGTGCCCTCTTGTACTGTGATTATTTAAACACATTAATTTTTTTTTACATCTGTGAAGATGAGGCTGGAACTAAAGCCTTTTTTTTTTTTTTTTAACCAGGCTAACAAAGTACAGAGGGGCCAATGTAAGAAATATACACACCCTTTAAAATGCTATACGTGCAGCTACCATGAAATGGCATTTGCGTGCACCCTACTAGTCAAGACAAAAAAAGGCTTCATTTCCAATTATGAAAACATAGGTCAATGAGCAAGACAGATTCCAGGTATTTTACCTCAAGAGGTCCTATGTATGATATAAAATTCATAGGGGTATAGGTTATTTTAAATCCTGATTACTAAAGGTAATAATACTCCATTACTAAAAAAAGTAATGTATCAACCTAAACATTTCTTTCCCTAAATTTTGTAGTTGGTTAAAACCAGTTTCTTATAGAAATTCTTATTTTAAAATACCCCATAGAAACGTTTAAGTAATTGGAAATTTGTGTAACAACATCAAGAATCTGCACAGAATCAAACTGCGACTTCTGCCTTCATTCTTATCTATGCTTGTCCACTGACAAAGGGATACAAGAGTCCTGGTTATATGATGCACAATACCTGGAAAGCATCTGAATAATGCAATCTACAACACGTAAGTCCAACAAGTATTAGGAGTTACATGTTTCTTCACTTTCTATTATCACTATAGATTGAAAAGCAAATTATGTGCCACCAAGTGTTGTTTGGTGTAATCAGGATGAGCTTAGACTGTTATGTCTTACCTTTGCGAGGGGAACCTTGAGGAGATGCAGGAGGACTAGAATGTAAAGATGATGCCACAGAGATAGTATCTTCTGGATGTTTCTTACCACTTATTTCTTCAGTTGTTCCTAAAACTTTCTGAGGTAAATTTGTATCTAAAAATAAAACCCAAGAAGCAAATAAGCATCACTTCACAATTAAAATATCTGTAGTGGCCTGAAGTACTACGTAACTAAAGCCATGAACACAATGGCTAGAGTAGTCAACTGAAATGTATAAATGACAAACAGGGACTACATGACTGGCTAATGGCATACAAAGATTCTCACCTCCATGTTATTTGTTCCAATTCAGCTAGTCAGTACGAACCAGATTATAATAGTTCTTTGTTGTTTGTTTTGTGGTGTAAGGGAAACTGAGTTAACAGTCTTAGTGTCCCAGCCCCCACAAATGACACACTTGTTTTGTTGCAAGTCTTAACAGAGAAGGCTGCCCTCTAGAGGTGGCTTCTCCAAGTCAGGGCGAGGCACATGGTGGAGTGTGGGGATGCTGGCACTGTCACTACCTGGGGTGCAGCCGTGCTGTGGGGGCACAGGGGAGGCTGCAGGGCTGCCAGGCCAGCCCTTTTCAAGAGCACTAAACTCACACGACAGGAGAAAAGTAGACAACAGAAACAATCATGAATTTATGGGAAAATAGTATGGAACCCCCTGGAAACATGCTGCAAAGTTCTATCTTTACTCTCGTCCAACAGCTGGTCCTATTTAGCGTGCGTCAAGCTTAGCAATGGTTTCACCATCCTGACACTTTTGTATTTATCTTCTTTAGGAGATGTCCAAGAGCTATTGACACTCTTTTAATCAGTAAAGTGAGCCCAACTTTGATGGACCTTTGTCATAGTAGCAAGCAGCCCTTTCACACGGAAGACATTTAAATCACAGTATACTCACACTACTCTTAAGTGCTATTTTAATATAAGTGTATTTATCATATAAATAACAGCCATATTACACCAAGCAGAAAAAAGGGCTATTTGGAACAAGTAATACTACCTTTTGGGTGATGACATCCCAGTAAGAAGCCAGATCAGGATTTGTCTCATTTTGTACGCCTAAACAGCAACTTGATTGACTTTACCAATTTTGCATCTAATTACCTCTTCATTTCCATAACCATCAAACTAGTTCAGGCTCTGAGCAACTTTCAGTTCATTATTACATCAACTTTCCATTTGGACTCTCTGTCTGAAGTCTTGCTGCGCTCCCTACTATAGTCCTTCTCCAACATAAAATAGACCATAACCTTCCCCTGCTCAAATCTCTGCAAAAGCTACCCACTGACAACTCTCCTTCGGCACACCATGTTATAATTTCAGCATGCCTAGGACCTCATTTCTCGTCATCCTGGGAGGCTATTTAATATGATGGTTAAAAGCAAGGACTTTAGAGTCTGTTATAGCCTGGGCCTAACTCCCAGCTCCATTACTCCCTGGTGTGTAAGTGTGTAAGTTACTGAGAACCTCTGTTTCCTCTGTAGAATGAGAGTATTAGGTATCTTACAGGGTTATTGTGAAGATTAAATGAATATAACAAACCTAGTAAAAACACTCAGAATCGTGTCTGGCACTCAGGAGTGCTCTGTAGGTAGCAGCTTTAATTATTATTCTCTCCGCACTTCCTGCAGCTCTGCACTCAGAGGCAGCACAATGCCCATAGCTCCTTGTACATAGATCCCAAGCTATTCTTCTGCCTGAAGCAATTTCTCTGCCATCTCTGCCTAATTACCTCCATCCTAATCAACCTTAAGACTCTGCTTAGGCGTTACGTAACCTCCAAAAAGTCACCTCTGAAGCTCTACTTTATACTTAGCTCTGTGTGCCCTAAAAGTTTCCTTTTTTTTTTTTTATACGTTTTTATATGCACATACCCCTGGCATAAAAAAAACACATTATACTTAAGTTACTGGTCTGTATGTCTATAGCATCAGAATGAAAATCTGGCAAGGGCGGGGACCCTTTCTTATTCAACTCTGGCTCTAAAACAAAATCAAATAATTAAAAATTCACAGATTTCTACTAAGTATGTCCTAAATATAATACATGGGCTAGGTAATAATGTTAGGAACCAAACTGAATCTAGCTTCCCTTCCACATGACCTAACAGCGGGGCAGGAAAAAAACACAGGCTATTCTTTATACACTTTACAATCTCTTCTTGTCGCCTAAGTTTTTCAGAAGTGATCATTAAAGAAAAAACAATATACATTTTTAGAATAAGCAACCTCATTCTCATAGGGCGCATGTGCATTAGATAACTGTGTCATGCACCTCTGAATGCAGTAAACTCTTGGTACCTCAGTGTAGTGCTTTAAGTTTTCTGTTGATGTGACTACAGAAATTCCAATACCAGCATTTAAAATATGTACGCTGTCAACACATACCTACACGCAAACTGAAACCTTTTTAAATTCATGAGTGATGATTAAATTATACAAACTACACTAGCTCATCTTCTGAGCATTTACATTTGCAATGATTTTTCATTCTAACTTCCCTGGAGATTTTAATTAAATCGATGCACTAATAATTGTGAATACTCACTCAATGCGGCAGGGTCTTTGGCTTGTCCCTTCTTCCTGATTGGGTGCAAATTAACAGCTGGCACTTGGAGCACCTGGCTTACTCTGTGGGGCTGATGCAAATGTGCTTTAGCTGTTTGGCCTGCCGATCTCATAGGCACTGGAGACATTTCTGATGATTTGGCTGATCTTTTCTCACTTAAATTCTTGGTCACTAATAGAACAGAGTAAGAAATATGTAACTGTGTGCTTTTTAAGGCAAGGTTATTACCAGTGACAATAATAAATAATTGCATTAAAACCATGTATTTTTTAATACAAAACACACAACAGATTAATCTTCCTGTAAGTATAACAACTTCATGTAAGTATTATGGCCTATTAGGTCCTGCAAGATTAGCATCAGGCCAGTATTTGCCTCCCTAATACCACACACTCTGCAGCAACTAGATGAGATCCCTTATTTTCTCAAGTCATCCTGTACCTTTTCTTCCCACAGCACTGATAATTTTTTTTTTTTTTTTAAGATTTTATTTATTTGACAGAGAGAGATACAGCGAGAGAGGGAACACAAGCAGGGGGAGTGGGAGAGGGAGAAGCAGGCTTCCCACCGAGCAGGGAGCCCGATGCGGGGCTCGATCCCAGGACCCTGGGATCATGACCCGAGCCGAAGGCAGACGCTTAACGACTGAGCCACCCAGGCGCCCCCACAGCACTGATAATTTTAACAATTCAATTACCTGTGCGATTCATCAATTAATGTGTCCCCCTAACCAGGCTCTTAACTAACATGAGAGTAAGGATTGCATATCTTGCTCACCACTATGGGTATTTGCTGAGCAAGTGAAATTGTTTCGATAGTTATATACAGGAATACCAGAGAACTGTTTTATAAATTCATGGTTAGAGTATTTGACAATAAATGTCAGAATTAAAAACGGAGCACTCTGACTTAAGAAACAAAAAGCTGCCGCCTTTGTATAAAATCAATACGGTCGTCCAGAGGAAAGAACTTTTAGTTCTTCAGTAACTCAAGGTGGTTTTAACACAGGTCCAGTCTCAGCACTCCATGATGTATTTGCTTTTAACATCAAGATAAAAGCCAAATTAGCACGTTTAACCAGTCCCAGCACAGCTATAACCGTTATCTACCATGCTTTTATTATGGGGGCCTACAGTGTATTTTGAGTGTTAAGAATTAGGAAACATTCCAGAAGTCAAAACAAAGGGACTCCTGTGCGATAATGTGCAGTGACTCCTCAACTGCTTGAATCCAGGCAATTATCTCACCTTTGGGTTCAAGCCATGAAACACACCTTCCCCTTTCTCTTAATACTAATCAATTCTCAACCGACATCTTATTTTAACTGCTGTAGTACAAGGAAAAAAACCCAAGAGACCACTTTAAATATAGAGGACTGCCCAAACCCAGCCAAATATATACTGATTTATTAGGAAGAACAAAATTCTAAAATTTTTCTCAGCAATTACTACTGTATAGGCTTGGGATTTAAAAATCATTTGAAAAATGATTAAAAATAAAAATATTTATATGCTTAAAAATCATTTATGCAACAGAAATCAAGTAAAGACTCAAATCAAAGGAATACACACTGAATTAAACTCACAAAACTTAAAGCAAGTCCTACAGATTTACTCATTTTAAATCAGTATTAAATATGTGGTAAAGGACACCATTTAGTGTTGTAAGAAAAGGCAGGTAAGTCTAGATGAGTGTAAGAAAAGTATGCAGGTGTGTATGTGTGAGGGAGGGAGGATGAGAGAGAGAATGGATGCAGAGTAGGTATGTGGAATCGTTCTGGGCCCCACATTTTAACAATGAGCCAGGCATAGAAGAGATTTTTATGCTCTTGAATATCCCAAATCAGATTTAGGAAACAAAAAAAGCAGATAATGAAAACAAAAGATAAAATAAACATTATTTCTGCTTTTGTCTGATGAAAGGTTAAACTGTGTCCCATAACTGTAAGATGATGAGGGTCTATGTTAAGTTACTTGGGGAACAATAATTTCAATGATCACGCAAAGCAGGGTCAGAGTACTTTAATAAATTAATTATGTATATGGGCTTTGAACCGTAAAACATGAATAAATCTTAAGATTCTGTACACTTTTTCAGTCTTTACTCCTTACATGTACCATTTTCACATGGCTGACACTATTCTTAGTAAGTCACAGGTAGTAAAAAATTTTCCTAGATACCTTCAAAGTCTACATGTCTACTATTTTTAATGGCCATGTACTATTCCTTGTATTGATAAGGAAACAGTATGCTTGACTATTCTCGAGCATTTTAGTATCTGCATGATTTCTTTTTCATCAGAATACATTCTGCAACATCTTTATATAAACAGATTTTTGGGTGCATTATCTCAAAGGAATAACAACCCCAATACTGGACACCTGACAGGTAGCTATAAGGAGTAAATAGCAATGTCTGTGAAGGGCCTAACATGGTTGCTGTATATAGAAAGCTCTAAATGATTATTAGGTTTTATTATTTCTTTCTCCTAATTTAATAGGATTGACGTAGAATCACAGAGATAAAACATACTGTCAATCCTTAAGTTTTACACGCTTGGGCAAACGGGAGATCTAGAGATCTAGAATGAAGAGAACCTTGCTCAAAAAGTAATAAATGACACTCAAACTCTGTCTTCATCCTTTATAGAAGGTGTTTGTTCCATCATACTTATTCCTATGGGTAGAAATGTCCAAGGTATTGTTTTTATAATAACATTTACCAAATACTTGTTACTTTGTACTTTAAAATCCACTGTCATATCTGAAATTTTTAAATCAGTATGTGGTTTTATATACACTTTCTCTTTTCTACTCTGGGTCAGCCCATGATGACTACCATTTCCTCCTATCAATTAGGAATACAGAAACAGAAAATGTGAACCTCCCCCAACTATCTTCTGTCAATAGTTTATCAAGTTCTAGACATCCTATTGGAATTTTTACTGGCATAACATTTAATTTAATATGCATAAAATAACATCCACTTATAATTTAATCATCTTTTTTGGTTGTCACAACACAGTGTCTTTTACCACTTTTGATTTCTGCTTTTGTAACTCATCATTTCCTTGACCCAGACACATGTAATATTCTCTTGTTTGTACAGGTATTCTCAGCTTTTAGAAGTCTGCATTATGCCATTTCACTTTTATGAAACACCTATGTCAGTACCAGTTTTCACAAGAAATTTTTTTTTTTATTAACATATAATGCATTATTTGTTTCAGGGGTACTTGTCTGTGATTCATCAGTCTTACACCATTCACCACACTCACCATTGCACATACCCTCCCCAGTGTCCATCACCCAGCCACCCCATCCCTCCCACCTCCCACCACTCCAGCAACCCTCAGTTTATTTCCTGAGATTAAGAGTCTTATGGTTTGTCGCCCTCTCTGGTTTCGTCGTGTTTCATTTTTTTCCTCTCTTCCCCTATGATCCTCTGCCTTGTTTCTCAAATTCCACTAACAGTGAGATCATATGATAATTGTCTTTCTCTGACTTATTTCGCTTAGCATAATACCCTCTAGTTCCACCCACGTTGTTGCAAATGGCAAGATTTCATTTTTTTTTAGCCACAAGAAATTTTTTTTTTTTTAAAGATTTTATTTATTTATTTGACAGAGAGACACAGCGAGAGAGGGAACACAAGCAAGGGGAGTGGGAGAGGGAGAAGCAGGCTCCCCGCAGAGCAGGAAGCCCAATGTGGGACTCGATTCCAGGACCCTGGGATCATGACGTGAGCCAAAGGCAGTCGCTTAACTAACTGAGCCACCCAGGCGCCCCTAGCCACAAGAAATTTAAAGAGGATTCTTGCTTATAGACACAGTGTGAACCCCATGCAGAGGAGAATCAACAAGCTATTTTCCCAGAAACTATATTCAGCACCTGAGCATCAAACCGTCATAGCTTTCAACTGGGTCTGTGCACATCTGTGCTTTATCTAGATTTACTTCGTGTATCCATTAGCTAGGTATGTCTTAAGGTATCAGAAAAGCTTAAAAGAGGTTATTTTGGGGGGCTTAGGAACACTCAAATTTTTTTGCATCTAAATTCATGGTAATTGCTTCTTCCCTTTATGTCATTTTGGCTTACGAAAGGTTTCATAGGAATGCTCTACTTAGGAATAGTGGGGGAAACCTGCACGTAAAAAAAAAAAAAAAAAAAAAATTTGAGAATAGGCTCTTCTTTTGTCCATCACATCAATATCAGAATGTGCCTGACTTTTCTTGTTTCTTACCTTAGTTACTGACACCTATGATCTCTGAGGGTTTCTTTTTTTTTTAAAAAAGATTTTATTTATTTGAGAGAGAGAGGGAGGGAGAGAGGGATAGCACACACACACACAAGCAGGGGGAGCAGGAGAGGGAGAAGCAGGCTCCCCAGTGAGCAGGGAGCACGAAGTGGGGCTCGATCCCAGGACCCTGGGTTCATGACCTGAGCCAAAGGCAGGTGCTTAACTGACTGAGTCACCCAGGCGACCCTCTCTAAGGGTTTTAATTAAATTTCTTGGATTTTCTAGTTGGTAAGTTATATCATCTGTGAGATTTAAAAAAGGTAAAAATTTCACTTATTTTTATTCTTCATTTAGGGGTGAAGGTAAAAATGTTCTCAAACAGAAGGGCTCCTCTATAATGTTCCAGTTTTTATAAGAAGACTTTATAATGATTTTTAAAGAAGAACTCTTTATCTCTCAATTTCCTGCACAGAGTAATCATTAAGAATGGATGGTATTCAGTATCTGGTTAAGAGATCACTTGATGCTTGGGGTATATCAGAAATCTTTTGTGAGTGAAAGTTAATTTTCACGGGACTTCAGCTTAACTCTAGAGAAATAAACTTCTATTCTGTTCTCTTTTACATTAAGCGAAACCTTGTACGTACAGGTACCATAGGCAGGTTCCCACTGCAATGACATCATCTGAAACTTTTCCTCATCTGTGTCTACATCCAGACTGGAAAGATACTGCTTCACTTTTCTTGCCATCTGGGCATCCTCATATAGCTTCTTGGCGTTAAGTAGAGAGCTGCGACGTGCCCTTTTTTTGTGTGCACCTCCCTGAACATCCAGCATGTTCGAGTTTGTGCTGCCTTGACTCAGTGACCTGTAGGGAGATGGAGATCACAATGAGGGGCAGTAAAGATGAGAATTACACATGGCAGACTGAAGATTAAAAGAATTTTGTTCTGTTAATGCTATTGCATGCTGATGCAAATGAGTTAAAAGATGAAGAGCATTAATGCAAAGTAATATGGCACACATGGCTATGTCCTGAGTTTTAAGATTCGGCAAAGTGTAGAATTCAAAAGAACAAGATAACAATCTCCCCCTTCCCCACCCAAAGCAACGAATTCCATCAGATCTACGTTTGTGCCTACGCAACTCAAGGCAAAACTGTGACAAGTAAACTGGCCCCGAGGCCATCCGCACTCTGAAGATATGGCAAGAGCCTGTGTCACAAGTGCATCCCCAGCCAGATCCCTGCACCAGGAGTTTCTAGAGCAGCTCTGCTTGTTTGTGCTGCTTTGAGCATACCATAGCCATCACCATTCCTGTCTATAGCAGGCCCGCTCTGAGTACGCTAGCCAATTTTACCAGTAAGCAGATCTTGGCCAAAATTCAAAAAGAACAACCGACAGGAAAAATAAGCATTTATACTCAATTCAGTATAGTTAGAGACCAGAAGTACAACAGAAAGCTACTCAATCTTCCATTCACACACAAATGGATTAAGCAATATGTGGTTCTAGGACTGACTATCTGGGACTTGGGACCTTTCCTTGCAATGCCTCTGTGAGGGAACTGCAAGCCAGGTAGAAATAACTACGATCCAAACAAGCTAACGCTTCTCCCAACTCTCCTCTTTTTGGCAAACCTCACTCTAGAATGACCACATCGAGAACCAATGCAAAATAGGAAATGCAATGTTATTTGTCCTTTCTAATTAGGCTAGAAATGCAAGGTTCTTAAATGATTTTTATTCTAAATGAAGTTCCCATTCCAAAATAATAAAGCTATCTATGGGTTTTCTAAATTACCCTCATTTTTATTCCCAAATATTCTAAATAGACCACAACCACAGAACAATTTGTTCTTCAGTGCTCACATACTATTTAAAACAGACACTAGAATCCTAGTGTTTTCTTGGTAAATTAAGTGAAACAAAGTTGTTAAAGTGTTATAGTATTTTTTTTCTTTCACTATTTTAAGATCTTTGGAATAGAATGCGCCTTACGTTTGAAATCAACTTTTGATTGCTACAGGTCAGGCAGAAACTGTGACAGGGTTATCACTAGTTTCACACACAGAAACTTCAAAACTTGCAGAATGGTTGGGAAGAAAATCCAATGACATTAGTGAATTACTCTTTCAATCTCCAGTAACCAAATGATTATTAAGAAGGGAGTAAATCTGACAAGTTCAACAACATTCCCAAAGCAGCAGTCAACAGGAGGCTAGCTCTAAGTATCTGCAAGCCCAAGCCATGAGTCCAGCACCAGCAGCTTTTACTTCTTTAATGGCTTGTTTTAAGAAATAATGCATTACCAACACACTTGATGGCACAAAAGAGAATACTGTGCAGGGAAAAAAAACTCCCAGAAACTAGTCACTCGGAAGACTCATATTCTAAATATGAAGAAGTCTGAGATCTAAATAAACCAATTTCATTTGCTCACATTTTTCTTTTAATGGATGCAAAAGGGTGTTATGTGATAAAAATACATATCTAAGTTTACATAAGAGCTCTTTTAATAAAGTAAAAAATATTCAGGGGTAAGAAGGCAGTGAAGTAATTTTTCTTAGTGGTACATCAAATAATGGTGTGTCCAACAAATGAAGATATCTTAGGTTCAGATAAATGCAGTAAAATCAAGGGCCAACTTTTAGGAGCAAATTTTTTTTTTTTAATTTTTTTATTCTTATATTATCCCCATACATTACATCATTAGTTTTAGATGTAGTGTTCCATGATTCATTGTTTGTGCATAACACCCAGTGCTCCATGCAGAATGTGCCCTTCTAGGAGCAAATTTTAATACAAATATTTTAATAACTTTTCCTTCGCTGGTATCAAAAAAAAAATGGTGTCTACAAATCGAGGATACATACAAAATCCTAGTAACTAATAACATTGTAATAATGACAATAAAATGTCTTCTAAACTATGTCCAAAACAGAAACCACCATGCTATAAGAATAAAAATACTTAGCATCTGCAAAAGCATCATACAATGCAACCCTAAAACTGAACAATGAATATGTTACTTAAGTCATTCAACACCCCAAATTCCCACTAGGATGTACTGACCGATATTCTTCTTCTAATAGTAATGCCAGGAACCAATTTCTATTTTCGGTGAGAAGAACCAGAAAAGACCAAGACATAAATGTGGAATACAGAAGAAAACACATGAGAAACACAAAGAGAACGGAGAACGTAGAAGGAAATTCAAGTTCACCAAACTTCAACAGAAAACAAGATCACAAATAAGACAAGACTCTAGTTCAAGTTAAGTGGCTCACAAAAAATCTTCTGTCATGTAATAAGAGCAACTAACTTCATGATTCACTCTAGTCTTAAAATAACAAAACCCTTCATTCACAAAAACCATCTCTTCATCTAAAAATGAAAGGGCTACATAGATGATTTATAAGGTCCTAAACACTCTATGATTCTAAATAGATATCAATGTAAAAGCAGATATCTGAACATACCTGAACAGAAAAAGGTGGCAGTTTCTGATTGTATTAGGGTTTGTTTGTTGTTGTTTTTTTTTTTTTAAGTCAACTCTACTCCCAACTTGGGTTTGACCTCATGACTCCAAGATCAAGAGTTGCATATTCTACAGACTGAGCTGGCTAGGCACCCCTGATTGTATTACAGTTTTAAGAGAGATAAGGGAGTCTCTTATTAAAAATGTTTTATTATGTCTCACGGTATTAGTGGATCTGATGAATTAAAATCATCTTCTATTTCAATTATTTACTAACCAAATTTTACAGTATAGTTTGGATAAGGGCTGCCTCTTATTGGAAAACTAATTGTAACATAACCTTTATAAACAAACTTCATCCATTTTTATATTATTACATTAAAAAATATATATGGTTTTGGAGAAACTTTTTTTTAAAAGTAGGCTCCACAGCCAATGTGGGGCTTGAACTCTGACTGTGAGATCAAGAGTCACATGCTCTACTGACTGAACCAGCCAGGCACCCCAAAATATGGCATTTGAGAATAAGAAAATGGCATGGACTCTGGAATCAGACTACCTGGGTCTCAATCCACTACTAATGAGCTCTAAGAATTCAGACCAGTCTATCTTCCCCGTCTGCAACATGGGAATAACAGTATTTATCTCACAGGGTGGATGGAGAATTCAGTAATTCATTTAAAGTGCTTAGAATAATATATGGCACATAGCAAGCGCACACCAAATATGTACTTCATCATCATCATTTAACTGACCCTGCTAAATTAAAATCTGTAAGGGACTTATGGGACATCAACAATGGCAAAGAAAAGGGGGGAAAAAAGCTAGTTCTATCACTACTTTCACCTTGTTAGCAAAAGGCATTTGTCAGGAATGTAGGTTGACAGGGTTAATAGAACGCATGCTATTTTATGTGCGTGCATTAATGAACAGGATGCAGTATATGTTAAGAGTCGTACAATCTCCATTTCAGTTGCATTCATCTCTACACTTACCCCAGACTCCGCCACCTCTTCTTCCTGTAAGCAAGAGCCACAAACATTGAAGCATGGGTTTGAATAGGAAAACACAGAAAAAAGACAACAGTTGAGAGTCAGAGAAACTATGGAGACAGAATAGAACAGAAAAATTTTACCAAGAAAAAAATGGTAGTTAACAGTAAAATGACTTTAATGGAATGCAGAGGGGTAAAATGAATTATGATATGTACCAAAGGCCAACAAACCCACAATATTCTTTAAAATATTTTTTTAGGCTAATTATATTTCTAATATCGAATCCACATCATAGGCTTATGTTAGTAAGAAGCTTAAGAAAAAACATGTACTTACTATAAATTGTGAATTTAAAGTTTTTAGGGAAGAGAATTTTTGAATTTTTTTTTGAAAGGATTTTGGGCCACTCATTTAAGTGACAGGATGAAATTACAAGGAACATAAAGATTTATGTCATTTCTAATGGCAGAAATTTCTCTGACAAGTACTTTACAAGAAATGTTGACCAGCAAATCAACTTAAAGTTTAGGTAAAACTACACCATCATAATAAAATACCTGCATATCCTTATACTCCAATTAGACCAAATAAAGATTGTTTATTTTTATTTATTTTTGCTCCCCGCCAGCCTCAGTGTGCCAGGCCTGCACCCACTAAGCTCCAGCTGCAGGTGGCCCAAGACTCTGTTTTTCAGTCAGCAAATTGATTACTGTTAGAATAAAAGAGGTTACTTTGTCCACACTAGATAATATACACCACAAAATGGACAATTATTTGCTTAAAGAAAGAGTACATTTCAGTACTGGCTGACAAAACAGATTCAGGAAAATTCAGTCCATTTCTATTTGTCCAATCTAATTATAAATGTTTCCTTTTCCCCTACACTATATTCTACTTAACCCAGGCCATTCCACAGAAAACAGCCAAGTTTACTAATTTCCTCCTTAGGTTTTTCCTCCTTTGCTCTTTTTTGAATCACAGCTGGTACTCATTATTTACTGGTCTGGTAGGGGCACAAATTCGTTATGTCTCAGGAACAAGGCTGCTAACATAAAAATGGAGGTCCACATAAGACAACAGGGAGTGGTGGGACCACTGGACAGAAACATGCAACAAAAGCAAAAACTTAAACAAACAACAAACCCTCCTCCACGTTTGCTTTGGTCCCTGGTTCTTAACTGTTTTCTGCTTCCAAACTGTTGAGCAACAACGTACCTCATTACACGTAGTGATTCTTAAGGGCAGAGTGGGATGGCTACGGAGGGGGACAGGGGATACAACCCTTCGTCCGTACTCTGAAGATCTCTACACTACAGCAACCATCGGATCAATTCCTTACAAAAACAAAGACTCCTTCCTCAACAGTAACTGAAATAAGACAAAACAAAAAACCTACCCAGACACACACTGATTCTTTAGTTACAAAAACTCCACCTCTGATTTTTAAAGAAACAAGTGTTTTTGTTTCCTTCATAGACCATATTTTTTTAAGCCAAAAGAAATATGCCTGCCCTTGTTGATATTTCATTTTGAAAAGTCTTATGTACTGAAGCTATACACATAGGCCCGGAAGAAAATAAGTCGCCTAGATTAAAACCCCAGTATCTATTTACTGATTATAATTAAATACTGATTATAATTTAAAAAATTAAATAAATACATTAGTATAAATACTAAATATAAAAACTACTAAGAACAGCTTGACAACATACTTTCTGTAAGTTTTATATAGTCTGAGAAAGACTTTGTTATTATATTAAAAATAAATTTTAAAAAGCATTCTTAGAAGTGAATATGGAATACAAATAACATCTTCCATTTCTATTAATGATGGAAATGCTTAAATTTGTGCTTTCTAAATTCTGTTAAAGTACTTACATACAAATAGAGTAGTACTATGGCTTGAGGAAAAGAATATATTTTAAAAGAATAAAGTATGACTTAAAGAGAAATAGAACTTAAAAATATTCAGTAAAAATAAAAGACATGTGCAGACTAATACTTTACAAATTAGGCTGAAAACCAGTTAAAGCATCCATCCTCTGTGATAACTTCAGTAAGGGTCAGCAATTTTCTTCTATTAGTTATTGAATGTAACAATAACAATACAGAATTATCCACATACTCAAAAAAGTAATACAGAACCAGGGTTCAAATCTCAGCAAAGTACATAATACTGGTCAAGTTACCTAACTGCTCTGAGCATCATTTTTTTCATACCACCTACCTTTAAGGGGTACCATGACAAATGATTACTCGTGCCTGACCTGTGTAAAGCATGTCACACAGTGTATAACAAATGGGAGATGGTTAATAAATGATAACTATTGTTGCTGTATCACTTGATGATATCACTTGATCTAACACTTTTACACACTTCAATGCCATACCTCTGTCGAAACATCATAGCTGGGTCCATGTTAGCAGAAGTCATTCGAACAACTTGCCGGATTTCCTTGGCAATCATTCTTAGCTTCTCAAAATTCACTAAACCATCTACTTTGGAGTCATTTCCTATGAAATAAAAGCAATTCTTTGGTTCTCAATATTAAAATACCTATATAAAGGTAGCAGAAGTCAAGTTTTTCTTGGGAGCACAAATCAGAACCTTCTTTATCGGGGCGCCTGGGTGGCTCAGTCGTTAAGCGTCTGCTTTCGGCTCAGGTCATGATCCCAGGATCCTGGGATCGAGCCCCGCATTGGGCTCCCTGCTCAGCAGGAAGCGTGCTTCTCCCTCTCCCACTCCCCCTGCTTGTGTTCCTTCTCTCGCTGTGTCTCTTTCTGTCAAATAAATAAATCTTTAAAAAAAAAAAAAAAAAAAAGAACCTTCTTTATCAAACTGCCACTTCTGTTTTCTTGGTTTTTGTTTTGTTTTAAGGGCGGGGGGGTGGGAGGGGCAGAGGGAGAGCGAGAATCTCAAGCAGGCTCCATGCCCAGCACTGAGCCTGACTCGGGGCTGGATCCCACAACCTTAAGATCATGACCTGAGCTGAAATCAAGAGTCGGGACCATCAACTGACTGAGCAACCGAGGTGCCCTGCCACTTCTATTTTTAAGAAGCGTATATATACGATTCAACTCTGCTCCCAGGTAATGAGCTACTGGAAGGAATTCTATTCCTATGGGAGCAGTGATTATAAATAAGCTACATAGCTTCTGAAACCAATTTCAAGGTGTTATTATAGGCACACCTGTAAAATGTGCTCTTCCTTAAATCTTACTCTCTAGATGCTCAGCTCACTCTCAGGCAGGTACCTGCATCTGCCCTTTTAGGCAGCAGGGTATAGCACCTGAAAACTCAGGTTTTAGCCAGGGGTCATAAAGACTGACCTATGGGTTTAATTAATCCAGTAAGTTTTAATCCAGTAAGTTTTCTTTGATTTAAAAATAGTTTTAAAAATTGTTAAATGAGTTGTCAACATTTATCAAGTAAAAGATATCCCCTGAAAACTTATGACTCTTCTTAAGAAAAGGGACGGTTCTAGTGGAGGGATTAAGGAAGGGTAAGTATGTTTTCCCAAATCACAATTATTAGTTAAAATTAAGAGGTGGCTGGCTCACAGAGGAAATACTTTCTAGCCTGCCATTCATCTTCTTTTTCCAAAATCTGAATTCACAATTCTTACTTTCATCAACCGACACAAATTTGCTTGCCTAAAAGTTCCAAAATTTTTATTTCTATTCTCATAATTGGACTCTTAGGAAAAATTCACACAACTTTCAAAATGGTCTACTTTTCTTTGAAGAGAGCAGGTATGAAACCAAACTTAGCCCATCTGATGGCTAAGTTCAGACTACAAGGCAAAAAAATGTAAGTGACTGTCTATAGTAGTGTTTCTTTTTCATGCCTGTCTTGAATAGTTAGTGTGACTGCACTTATCTACTATGGTAGCCCCTGAGATGCCTCTGTGGAACTCCCAAGTCCCTAAAGACAAGTTTGAGAACCTACTGGGTCTGAAACACAGCATGTTCTCCTTCCTCATAGTAAACAGAACCTATACATTGAACATGAGTTGTTCAGGGCTTCAACATGTGAGGTGGAAACAAAATAATCACCAAAAATACTTTCAAGTCACACAAACCTGTTTTGAGGGAGCAAGTCAGAAAAATATATATGAAGTCTATCAGAGTATTTCCTTCTGAAAAAGGAGTGATTATGAAAGAGGGGGCAGTAAGATTAGGTAATTACAACAACCCTTCTGCTGAGAATAATCAGAAAATTTGAGCAAAAACAGAAAAAGCAAATATTTTAGGGCATCAAAAAGCTATTGAGGCAGTGAAGATTCCGAAGAGGAATGAAGATCTGGGGAAGGTTTACTATTTCCCAGTACTTGATCCTAAGGGCATTACTGATTCAGAAAAGGCAGATGATGAGCCTAAAAAACTAAGTAGTACCACTCTGACTTATGAGGTTAGAAGATAATTAAGTCCTGGTAAACTCCCAATGCTTTGGGTTGGGATCCTGAAGGGCTATTCTGGGATTAAGGATGAACTAAATGTGACTAGGATACAAGTTCAGTGTTAAATTATCTCAAGAGGTGAAAATGGATTAAGGTGATTGTGGACTGCTAGCACACCTGTCTGGCAAAAGCAAGCTTTAATTTCTCTGGAGGAATGGGACATCATCCAAAATCTCAGATTATTTCTGTAATTTTTTATACACAACATACATTTGACCAAAAATAACCAGGGCTTATTAGGAGAAGAGACATGAATTAAATGCAGGTGGAGAAAAAGACAACAGAAAGGGACCCACAAAGGATGGAGTTATTAGACACAGACTTTAAAATAACCAAGTTGAATATGTGCAAAGATACAGAAAACAACACTGAGAACTTTGGCAGAGAACATAATAAAGATTAAAAAAAAAAATGCAAATTATAAACCTGACGAAAAAGGAAAAAAAAAAAAAACAAAACCAAACCTCACATTAACACAACAACTGGAAGTAGGAACTCACTGATATATTTAACAGTAAAAAACACATAGTTGAAGAAAGAATTGATAAATTGGAAGAAAATATCCAGAATGAAGCCTGGTAAGACAAAAAGGTGAGAAACAGAGAAAAGAGGGTATGAGACAACAGAGGAAGTCATCAGGTCTAACAAAGGTGAAATCAAAATCCCTGAAGTAGAGGTTCGAAGAGGAAAGGTAAAAAATTTGAAGATAAAATGAATGAGAATTTTCAGAACTCATGAAAAATATCAAAACACAGTTTTCAAGACATCTTACAAACAAATCAGGACTAAAACAAACAAAACCCAAAATACTACACCTAGTTACACCATAGCCGAACTAGAGGAAAAAAGAGACAAAATTATATGGCAGCTTTTGGGAAAAGCGCAAAATACAGTCACAGGCACAGCAAGGAAGACTGACAAGTGATGTCTCAATATCAACAATGAAAGCCAGGACACAATGGAATAGTCTCTTAAAATGTTCAAAGAAGACAAATGCCAACCAAAATTATGCCTTAAAAATGAATATGAAGGGGCGCCTGGGTGGCTCAGTTGTTAAGCATCTGCCTTCGGCTCAGGTCATGATCCCAGGGTCCTGGGACCGAGCCCCGCATCGCACTCCCTGTTCTGCGGGAGGCCTGCTTCTCACTCTCCCACTTCCCCTGCTTGTGTTCTCTCTCTCACTGTGTCTCTCTCTGTCAAATAAATAAAATCTTAAAAAAAAAAAATGAATATGAAGACATTTTGAGATAAACGAAATTAAGATATTTCATCATCAGCAGACTGGCACTTAAATAAATAATAAATAGTGTTATAGCAAGAAAAAAACCCCAACTACATGGAAGTGTTGAAATGCAGAAAGGAATAAAAACAGTAACATCATCATCTAAATACCGACCTTACTAAATGATAGTATCATGTGGGAGTTCAAGGCATGACAACAACTGCATATAAACTGGGATGTGAATAAATGGAATTTAAATAATCTAAGTTCTTTGCATTGTCCAATACACCGAAAAGTACTGATGAATATTAACCTAATACCAATTATAATGTCTAGTGTAACATGAGAAAAATAGTAAAACAGTATATAGTTAGTAAGTTACTTTACTAGAATACCATACACAAAAATTAATTCAGGAAGATTGTAGATTAAACATGGTAAAAGATCACTAAGTTAGGCGTTTAAAGCTAAGAATGTGCTGTTCATCAAAAGATAACCTTAAGAGACTCAAAAGGTAAGTCATATTATACCCAGGATTTGTAAGAAATAGTTAAAAATATATTAAACAAAACAGACAACCTGATAAAAAGAATACACAAGAAACCTGAACTGATAATTGAGCAAAAAAACCCCACATAAATATATAAAAGGGTGCTCAATCTCATTAGTAATTAGGGAAATGCAAATTAAACCACACCACTACTGAACTGGGTAAAAAGAAGAAGGCTGAATTTACCAGGTGTTGACAAGGAACAATGAGCTCTAGTAACACTGCCAGTGTTGCACTTACTTACGTACATAATGTCAACTCTTTTCTAAAGTTGGTTATACGAATATCAGATCCATAAACGCCACGTTGAATGATATGAATACTCAAGGCAGCATTATGCATAATAGGTGAACAGTGGAAAACTATCGAATGCTTATCAGGACAATGGAAAAATCCACTGTACTGCATTCAGGTAACAGAACACTAGTTTTGAAAGTCAAGTGCAGCTATAGTCAAAAACATGGAAAAAATCTCACAAATCTAATGTTGACTAATGTAAGCCAAAAACCAAAACCAAACCAAGACATACACTCTATAATTCCATTTATATAAAATTCAACAACAGATAAAACTAAATCCCAGTATTAGGAGTCAGGACAGTCATTACTTTTGGGGAAGAGAATGAGGGTGGTAATTAGAAAGGGGCATTTTTGTTTCGGCCAGGGTGTTGGTTACGTGGGTGTTTGCTCTGTCATAATTCATTTAATTGTTCACTGGTTTTAGGCAGTTTTCCGTGAGTTATTAATTTAAAAACAAAGTTGGAAGGAAAAATGTTACTAAACAAGATAACAAATATGATCAAACAGTATGATCTGGGTGTAAGTGAAATCTATGTTTGAATGCACAGGGTAAACACCTAAATTTGTTTCTGTCAATAATGTGAGTTTTGATTTATAAAAGTTGCTGCATTTATAATTAGGTAAAGCTTTAGTGACATAAAAGGCTGAAAAATACATTAAATATAATAAATCACAATTCTGTCAAAACATGAAGCTAAACATGCTAATTTTCAAGTAACTTTTAAATACCTTCATGTAGAAATGTCATATCTTTCTTGACAACAGGGAAGAGTGGAATAATTGGAGGCTGCATGCTTTGACTACTAAGAATATTTCTATATTTTGCCATGTTTCTAGATGGATCAAAAAGGTCTTGTAGATCTTGGAGGTGTTTCTCATACTTGCTTGGTAATTTTTCCCAAGTACCTCTGAGTCGTGCTACAGATGCCAGGTTCAAGCCACTGCCAAAGATGAGAATAAAAACATTAATAAGGGACTTGGAAGAGAGAGAAGACTCAGGGCAATAAAGTGTATACACCAAGCTCCTATAATACAGCTAAAATAAGTAGGGACATATTTTTAATGTGTTGAAATGAACAGAGCAGAACCATAAAAAAAATAAATAAAAGGGACTCTTTGATCTGACAATAAGGAAAACTGCTTTCAGAGAACTATATATATATATATTACTTGCCTGTATACCTGTAGCCTTTATTTTATAGCTTGCGTGTATGAGACAAACATAGTATTTCCATAAAAGAGACATTTAACGTAAATTAAAAAAAAAAACCTTCAAATATCACAATGTTTTTGTTTGTTGTACTTAGAAATAACTTTATGGAGACATTATCTATTTGAAAGAGGTTTAAGTAATGCTGAACACAAATGCTATAATAATTGAGGCAAGTTCTAGGGCTGAGGTAGCCTTCTCTTCCTGAGATTTTGTTTTTTCATATCCCTGATTCAAATACTTCCCTAGGTTCTAATCCTGTTCCCCCAAGGCCTCCATATATTCACTGTCTTCTTTCTACAGGATTTTAAACTCAGCCTGAGCTTGAAAAACATGCATGCCCATTAGGCTGCAGCTCCTCCCTATCCTTTTTTGTCTATACTACCACCCACCCTCCAGGCAGACTCCCACATGAATAGTGCATATATAATGCCTCAATTTTCCTTCCAGTTAATCCTTCTTTTATACTTAGCCACCTGACTTTTAGGGACACCACTGTACTTAAAATGTTCTCTTGACCTCTGATTTTAAGGTGTGAAGTCAAGATATCTTTGTTCCCTTTGCCTCTCAGAAATCATCCCAAATGACCGAATGAGTAATAGAAATACAAATTTCACCTCCAGTTCAACTAAGAGATATCTGTAACTCCTAAACACATTAAAAGGTTGCCCCCAAATAGCCAAGGTCAAATAGGAGAATGGCAAATGCTGGAAAAGAATGTCTGTAGCTGAAGGTCTCAACGAAAGCTGGTCAAGTTCTCCAAAGCAGGTAACTCACCCTGAAGACAAGGACACCAACCCCCTATTTGAAAAAACACAAAGCAATCTACAGGCTGATAGAATTAGGGGGGGGCTGGACCATGTTCTTTACCAAGGAGTGCCACAGAAAGTACACAGAGTGATACAATATCTTGATGAGAAGCAGTTTAACAGACCAGATAGAAGGTAGAAACTCTGAGTGGTAAGCAGCACTAAAGCTGCCAATCTCCATGTGGTGGAAAGAAACAGGGTAAACAATTCACATTCAAGCTCAATTCCTGCTAGCCTGGAATAATGCCCTAGATCCTCTCTCAAATGAACCTCCTGCAAACACTTGGTACAGGAAAACTCATGTCATTCAAAAAGAAAAAAATAAACACAGAATCTATAATAAGCTGCTACAAGGAAAAACAAGGAATACAAAGAAAAATGTTGCCACCAATCAAATAAAAACTGGGACTAATCAATGACCTAGCCATGATTTCAAATGAATTAGTAAAATAAATAAATAGCTTAATGGAGTGATATAAAGAGCTTAAGGAAAATACAGCAGGAGAAGATGATAAAAAGAAGTTAACTAGTAAAGTTCAGAAAAGAAATGGAATACAAAACCAACACAGAAATGAAGGCTACCTTGGAACCTAAAAAAGAAAAAAAAGAAAAAGACACTGCTACAACCTGGTGCAAGTGATGTCGAGGGGAGGATTCACAAAAGCAGTCAACGGAATGGACAGAGCTAAAAAGGAATGGAGAGAAAATAATGGATATGAAAGACAAAAGAGAAAAATGTTCAATAACTGGTATCCTCGAAGAAGGAAAAACAATGGAACTGAAAAACTATTCAAAGGTAGAACTTGAGAAAACTACAGAAACAAATCAATCTACAGAGTGAATAGGCACCACAGTTCTAGAGAGCTAGATATAGAACTGAAGAGATGTAGAAACACAGATGTAAAGGTAAATGACTTCAGAGACAAAGACAGGGTATGCGGAATAATCTAAGAAACTTGCAGCTACATAAAATGCTAGTTATGGAGCCAATGTCTAGGAAGTTACCAAGAAATAACCCATGAAACAAGAATTTTAAAGCTAAAGTGTCACTGAAGTTCCCAGACAAAAATAGACATTTTGGATATATTCAGCAAATAGAATTTCCACAAGACCTTCTTCATGAAATGACTAGATGACAAATTTCAACCAAGATTTGATTAGAGAGAGTGATGTTAGCATCATGGCAGCCTAAGACATCTCTTGTTTTTACCGCCCCCCCCCCCCCCCATCCCAACAACACAAATCTAGCATCTATCCATGAACAACAGTGCCTCTGTGGAAGCTGTGGGACCCAGCACCACATGCCAAGGGGCATGGGGAAAAAAAAGCCTTGCCTCTAAGTATATTGGGTATTAGGCAGATAACTTCAGTACTGGTTCTGGAACCTACAGGAGACTGTTAAGTGGTTCTTACCCCTATTGACTGTGATCTGGGAATGCCTGCAGAACAAGGACTTAGTCACCTAAAGAAAAGAGAGCATTTGTGGAAGTCCAGATTTCCAGAAGAAAAGTTCTAGCACTCGGCTGGAGTAAAACAAAACAAAACAACGACAAAATAGAGTTTGATGCACTTAAGTAGGTAAATAGTTTGATTTTGCTGGCATCACGTCTCCCCAAAGGCAGCACAGTTGAAAGCTAAACTAGACAGCTGGTCATTTCTCCCACAGAGGAGAAGGAGAACTGGTAAGTACATGCCTGGTTTCCCTAATTGCGTAGGATGCTATCAAAGACGCTAACTTCACTCTTGTATCATTCAGATCCAGAACATCCATTAAAGTGGGAGCTCCATGACAGGGGTGAGGGAGCAGAACTGGAGCATAGCATATAAGATTCCTGGAGGACGTTAAAGGAACGCAGATCCTGCTGATTGCTTGTGGACTCCAACAGGAGTCAGACCAGGAGCCACAGGGAACATCTCATCTCTCACCTGCAGATACCCCCAAATGACCCACTGGCACCTGCACTGCACCATGCACCCAACGCATACCCCCACATCCCTCTTCCACTCTGCTGCTGGCTCCTTGTCCAAGGTCCTGAGAACAAGCTCTGGTAAAGAAGGAACACAGAAAATGGGATAGAGTCTGTGGGCAAAGGAGAAACCACAAACTTGAACTGTAGCACCACCTTCAGGAAAACGGAAGAGAAGCCATCAGCAGATGACAGGGTATATTGGAGGATACAGAGAAGATAAACTTTAGAATCCTCTCACAAGACGGAGGGGCACCTGGGTGGCTCAGTCTATTAAGCGTCTGCCTTTTGCTCAGGTCATGATCCCAGGGTCCTGGGGTCGAGCCCTGTGTGGGGCAGGGAGCCTTGCTTCTCCCTCTGCCTCTGCTGGCAGCTCCCCCTCCCTGTGTGCACACGCTTTCTGTGTCAAATAAAATCTTAAAAAAAAAAAAAAAGAAAGAAAAAGCATGGAGCAGGTATATCCATGTAATATCCAAGAAAGTCTTAGAATCTATAGCAAGACTGCTAAAGGTTCCCCACCCCCCCGCCCCACCCTGCTCACTGTAAAGACTGTTAGTAAAAACTGGGAGGGGGTGACTGCTACTTTAAAGAAAAAAACAAGAACAAAAACAAATCAGGGAACCATAACATCACCAAAGTTCACAATAATCCTCTAGTAACCAAACCCGAAGACATGGAGATCTACAGTTTACCTGATAAAGAATTCAAAATAGCTGTTTTAATGAAATTCAATGAGCTACAAGAAAATTCAGAAAGATAATTCAATGAAAATAGGAAAACAATACATGATCAAAACGAGAAATTCAACAAAGATACAAAAATCACAAAAAAGAACCTTACGGATATTTTGGAACTAAAGAACTCAATGAACAGAATAAAATAAAATGTCACAGAGACCATCAACATCAGAGTAGATGAAAGAAGAGAGAATCAGTGAGAGAAAGAATAGGAACTCTGAAGTAACCCAGTTTGAGGGGGGGGGAAAAAGAATGAAGAGGAGTGAAAAAAGCCTACATGGTCCATGGAAGCACCAAAAAACCCAAATATCCGACTGGAATTCCACAAGGGGAAGAGACACAGAAGGAAGCATTTCTTTAAATAGGCTTTAAAGAAATATGGCTGAGAACTTTCCAAGCCTAGGAAGAGATCTGGGCATTCAAGTTTATGAAGCTAACTGATTACCCCATTACTTCAATTCAAAACAACTTTCTCCAAGACTCATTGTAAGAAAACTGTCAAAAATTAAAGACAAAGAAAATTCTAAAGGCAGCAAAAGAAAAAAAGACGAAAACCCACAAAGGAACATCCATTAGGCTGTAAGCAGATTTTCTCGGCAGAAAACTTACAGGCCAGGAGAGAGTGGGATGATATATTCAAAATGCTCAAAGAAAAAAATTGTCAACCGAGGACACTATCTGGCAGTTATCCTGAGAAATGAAGGACCTTCCCAGGAAAACAAAAGCTGAGGGAATTTATCACCATTACACCTGCCTTACAAGAAACACTGAAAGGAGTTCTTTGAACTGAAATGATGTTAAATAGTAACATGAAAACATATAAAAATACACATCGTGATAAAGTTCAATACATAGTTAAATTCAGATAACTTTTTTAAAAAAAAAGATTTTATTAATTTATTTGACACAGAGAGAGAGAGCACAAGGTGGGGAGAGCGGCAGAGGGAGAGGGAGAAACAGACTCCCCGCTGAACAGGGAGCCTGATGTGCAGCTCTATCCCAGGACCCTGGGATCATGATCTGAGCTGAAGGCAGACACTTAACCAACTGAGCCACCCAGGCGCCCCAAATTCAGATAACTCTTAATAGTATAGTATGATGGTGCCTTAACCACTTAACTAGAGAATAAAGCTTAAAGGACAACAAAATGACAACAGCTACTATCATTTGTTGGAATACACAATATAAAAAGACAAATTCTGACACTGAAAGCATTTAAAAGGGCAGGGAATAAAAGGGTAGAGTTTTGCATGTGACTAAAGTTGGTATCAGCATGAAATAGTTACGTTTCATGTAAGGCTCATGGTAACCTCAAGGCAAATACCTACAGTAGACTCACAAAAGACAAAGAAAAGGGAATCAGAGCATTTCAGCACAGATGACCAGCAATTCACAAAAACACAAGAGAGTAAAAATGAAACAAGGGAACTACAAAACAGCTAGAAACCAGGAACGGGGCAGTAATAAAAGTCCTTACAAATAAACAGTCTAAATGTAAACTGACTTCTCCCATCAAAAGGCACAGAATGGGTGGATGAATAAAAAAACAAGACCCAACTATATGCTGCCTACAGAAGACTCACTTCAGCTTAAAGGACACACATAAGCTCAAAGTGAAAGGATGGAAAAAATAATCCACGCAAACAGAAACCAGGAGAGAGCAGGGGAAGCTAGATTTATATCAGACAAAATGGACTTTAAGCCAAAATGGTAAAAGACAAAGGAGGTCATTATATAATGATAAAGGGTCAACTCATCAAGAAAACATAAAAATCATGAATATACATATGCCCAACATTTCAGCACATAACTGTATTAAGCAAACAGTAACAGAGCTGAAGGAAGAAACAGAAAACAATGCATCAGTAGGGGACTGCAATACACTACTTTCAGCAATGGATGAATTACCTAGACAGAAAATCAATAAATGGACTTGAACCATACTTTAGACCAAATGGACCTAACAAATATATACATGACAGTCCTTTCACCATTAGCAGAATACACACTCTTCTCAAGCATAAATGGAACATTCTCCAGGAGAGATTATAAAATAAACCACAAAAGTCTTGGGAAATGTAAGACTGAAATCATGTCAAGTATTTTTTTCTGACCACACTGGTGTGAAACTAGGAAGTAACAAGAGGAAAATGGGAAAATCTACAAAGAGAAATTAAACAACACTCCCTTGAACAACCAGCGGGTCAAAAAAAAAAAAAAAATCAAAAGGGAAATAACTATCTTTCAACAAACGAAAATGGATACACAACATAACAAAACCTATGGGATGCTGGAAAAACTATTTCCAAGACAGAATTTTAGTAATAATTTTCTTTATTAAGCAAGAGAAATTATCCACTTTTCACATCAAAGAACTAGCAAAAGAAGAAACTCAGCCCAAAGTTAGGAAAAGGAAGGAAATAACAAAGATCAGAGCAGAAAGGTATCAAATAGAGGCCAGAAAAATAAAAAAGATGAAACTAAGAAGTGGTTTTTCGAAATTAACAAAATTGACAAATCTTTAGCTAGACTAAGAAAAATAACTCAAATAAATATTACTACCTAATTCTAGGCAGAACTGACTGATTCACTTTTGTCACCTCTGCTGTAAAGTATGTTATATATAAAGTTATATATAACTTTATATGTAGTTATAGTCTTTGATATACTTTATGAGAAAACAAAGCAATTAATTTTATAGGAACTACTGAATATGTGTAATGTGTATAATAAAATGTTCTTTAAAACAAAACAAACCTGGGGCACCTGCGTGGCTCAGTCTGTTAAGCGTCTGCCTTCGGCTCGGGTCACGATCCCAGGGTCCTGGGATCGAGTCCCACATCAGGCTTTCTGCTTGGTGGGGAGTCTGCTTCTCCCTCTACCCCTCCCCCCCCGCTTCTGAGCTCTCTCTCTCTCTCAAATAAATAAAATATTTAAATAAATAAACCAAAACAAACCTTTAACCAGATACCCATCTTTCCTTCTTTCGAATCACTTTCCTTGGCTTTAATGACACAATCGTAACTGTGCTGTTCTATTAGTTCTTGTATTTGTCCCCTATCTCTTTGGCTCGACTCTCTTCTTCACCCCTATACTTAGGATGGTCACTGGTTATAGCTCTTAAACCCTCCACCATTTATTTTTTTTACACTCTCTTTTTACACAGAGATCTCTCTTGTCAATCAGGTTTTTTTTTCACAGACTACTCCAAAACTGAGCCTGTAACTTTCAAATTCTCTAACTTTATCCTTCCTACACAGTTTCAATTTCTAGCATTCCAAGTGTTTATCAATGGCATCTTTGTTCCCTTGTTCTAGACTCAGCTGTTAAAAACAGTGAAGTAGGTGGCGTGATTCCTGCATTTTATAGATGAAAAAAAAGGTCTTCAATTTTCTACTGACACACCGCTACTACACTGGAGTCAGGACTCAGACACACGTGCAGCTGTTCTAAAGGTTAATGCTCATCTCTGTTCAATACTCCTAAAATCAAACAAACAAAAACCACACAAACAAACAAGAACTCCTTCTAAAGCATCTATTTCAAGTGCACTCACTGGTTACCTTCATAAAGGAGTTTCTTATTACCATGACAGATTTATGATTATAAGGATTCCAATTCTACCTCATGTGAGCCTAGAACAAGTCATTATTAAATTCTGTGGGGGGCATACATAGATGGGATTAAGACGTAATTATGCTGCTATATACAAGCATGTGGCCTCATAAATGGACAAAACTACAACTACCCTCCACCTTTAAAATTAGACTTCCTTTAGGAGGAATCCCTTTACTCATCAGCACTATACTAGGGGAGGGTCAGAAAATACATTACCTAGGTTACCCAATCTAGCCAATCATAGTGAGTGGGGGGAAGGAAGAGTCCCAGGACATGTAACCATCCACACTTCCTGGACTTAGAGACTGTGAATTTTTATAATTCTAATTCTACAGCCTATTGTGCTTGAGCAACAACACATCCAGTGATACCTCGTGCAGTGTCTGTTAAACAAATCAGTACTCACCATATGGCTGCCATTATTATTTATTGTTGTTGTTGCTACTGTTTCAAAATAGCAATTTTAGGTTGGAGCAGTGATACGGACTGTGATTTTTCAGTGCCAAATCACAGTGAGGCTGATACGGAAAGATGCACAGTATAGAAGTCTGACGATAAAAACCACCCGTTGGCCATACATCCAAAGAGGGTATAATCCATTAAAGGGGGAGAAAGGAAGAAAAATGGGAAGGCAATGGACCCTATTCAGCAAAAGAAATGTTTAAATGAAAGATGGCAGAAACAGAAAGTGAAGAAACCACTATCACCAGAATGGAAAATATATGAAATCTAACAATACTTTAAAAGTCTATTGATTGGACTTTTCTTCTAGCCACTTAACACCTACGCAAAAAATCAGCTTCATGTCTAAACTATACACAAATATTTATACAAACTTACCTTATTATTGCAAACATGGAATTGAAGTTCTTACATTCTCGACAATGAAGTGCAATTTTAATAAAATGCTTAATAATCTTCATTCGTTTCAGCTGATTCGATTCAGTTAAAATCTCTGAGGCAACCCAGAATGTCTCCTGGTTAACAATGTCCTCAAACTCTTTTAAGTGAGTATTTCCTGTTTTGGAATCTAACTTAAAAAGGTCATCAATGTATTCAGTAGGCTCAATATTACGAAACAAATCAAAGTCCCTCATTGACAGCTGAGTGGCCACCTCAATGGTACTGAGCTGCAGCATGGAGAGTTGGCTTTCCTTAACTAGTTCTTGAGCATCTTCATCTGAACATAAGGTTTCTGTTTCCATGTTATTTTTTAAATAATACCTAAAAGAAAAAAATTATTTTTGTAAGTCATTTCACATTTATAAAGAGCACTTTATGACCACTGTCAAAATGTCATTATATGGTTGATAACATTTTGTCAAAAACATAATATTCATTTAAAGTTGAAATGGAAAATTAACAACGTAAATGAAAAGACTTTAAAGAAGTTATCCTGTTATTCCACCGTTTTACATCTATTAAAGAGTAAAAATAATGTTGATAATGCTGTGAACTTAACCATTTTATGAAACTACTCACATAATGCGTCAACAACTGTGTGTGTGTTCTTGCGGATAAAAGCTCTAAGAGGCCTATATGAAGGAAGCTGATGCATAGTAGATATTGTATCAGTATTTGTTCATGGACAGCGTGAATGAACATCTGAATCAAGACTGTTTACACTTCTATTCAGAAGTTGTTCTTACACTCATTTTCTTCATTTCTGAATTCCCAAGAGAAGCAAAGAAGAATAAAACCGGTAAAGGAGAGGAAAAACCTCTCCACTAATGAATTCTCCCTTGTTAAATACAAAACTTTATTCCAGCAAATGGCACTGATCAGCAACCATAAAAGAGACCCTCATTTTCTTATTTTTACACCAACAATTCTTTAACATTTAAAAGGACAAGTTTCACCCCTGGGAAATATCTTGTATAGGGCTGGTGCTGGGGACAAAAAAGGTAACATACTTGTCATCTGTGGCTTTTAGTTCATTCTTTTCTAATATACAACTTGATCCCAGCCCAAGTTTGTGTCCATCTATTTTTGATTATCAAGCAACTATACCTTGTTTTCTTCTGTGTGCATACTGTTCACATGCCTAAAAGAACACTATAAATGTGCTGAGACCCATTACACTAGTTAATAAAATTATATCTAACATTTATAGGGTGGGATAACTTATTCATTCTTATAACACTCCTATGTGGTAGGTTCTATTATCATCATCCCCATTTTTTTAAAGAGAAAAGTCAGAGAGAAACCAAAGAACTCGCTCTGGTCACACAGACAGAGCTGGGACTTACCCAGACTGCTGAGCACTCTGGCTCCAGGGTCTATGCTCTTAAGCACTATGTATAGCTAGCAAGGCAGAGTTAATCCATTCTCTCTTACCAGTAACCATGAGGAGTAGTCATTTTAAGGTTTCTTTTCTTTTTTTTTTAAGATTTTATTTATTTGAGAGAGAATGAGATAGAGAGAGCATGAGAGGGGGGAGGGCCAGAGGGAGAAGCAGACTCCCTGCTGAGCAGGGAGCCCGATGCAGGACTCGATCCCAGGACTCCAGGATCATGACCTGAGCCGAAGGCAGTCGCTTAACCAACTGAGCCAGCCAGGTGCCCCCATTTTAACTTTTAATTTTCTAGGATCTTAACTCTATATATGAATTTAGGCTCACTAAAAAGAACATGTTATTCTCAGAGAAAATCACAAGAGTTAACAACAAATGTACTATAGAAACAATCTTCTAGTTGATCAAATAATATTCAAAGCACATTTAAAAAATTTTTAAAAACATTTTTGCATATTCACAGTAGGAAAACTGCTTAGAAAAAAAACTGTAAAAATTACGCCCTCTTTTGCCCAGAGTACATTTTAGTCATACTAAAAACAAATTTGTAATTTAACACATACATACTCAGATACATATAAAGATATATATCATTTGGTTTCCTCTCTAAAATATGGATTGGACTACACCAGTGGTTCTAAGAATTTGTTTAGCAGGAGGGCTAAAATATTTTAGCAAATTGTCTTCCCTTTCCTTCTCCCACTTTCAGGTAGTCCTTATGAGTGCTAACACTCTGAGATTCCATTTACATAATTATGGAGACAAAGCTAAAAAAAAGAGAAATCCTGCTTTAATTTTAGAGAAAATTCAGTGACCCTAAGACATGATGTTTCTATTTAATATATGTTTTTACACACAATCTTCAAAAACACATCTAGATAAAGGGTACTAAGGTGTATAAAAACTTTGTTATATAATAAATAACTCGTGGAGATGAAAACTACAGCATAGGAAATATAGTCAATAATCTTGTAATAACACTGTATGGTGACTACAGTTTTCATGCTGAGCACGGAGTAACACGGAACTATCAAACATGCTGTATACCTGAAACTAATACATCGTTGCAGGTTAATTATACAATTAAAAAAAAAATCTAGAATTAAGTACATTCATTAATAAGCACATTTACCTTCCATTGAGCTGAATTCTATCAGCTAATTTGGAGAATTGGTCTGGAAGTCTTCTCTGTTTTATGACACCCTCAGGAGTAACAGAAACTTCACAGAGAGAATATGTGTCGGAAGCACCCGTCAAACCAAATTCATGAACAGCATGACAAACAACTTCTTTAGCTGTAGTGTCTTTACTGATGATAATGTAGCAACTTTGTTGATCTGCTTTGAAAACTCTTATAACTTGATCAGGAATATCTATATAAATACAAAAGCGTGCCTTGTTATTTTCAAGACAATTCAACTCTTCAAAAAGCAATTTAGAACAAAAAGATCCCTCTGGACAATGATATATACCTATCTATTTCAGGAGGTTAATAGAAATCACTGTTGCATTTATTGAGAAATGACTGTATCTACCTTTTCAGGTGACAAAATACTAATATATGTTCATAGAAAAACAAACACAAAAAGATAAACATTATGATTTGGAAGCCACAATATATTTTATTTATTACAAACTTTGATGTCCTTAATTACTCTTCGACAAAACAATTTTTAAAAGAGGCATAGGACTCCATAATATGTATTTTATATTTTTAAGTTATCCAAACCTTTAATGACAGACACTTAGGTTGCATATCTTCTATATAACACTGTGATGACTAATACCCCTTTCCCCCTCCCTGGAAGATAAACCTTTGTAGGCAATCTGATTATTTCCCCAGAGAAAATCTAGAAGGAGAGGGGTGTGGGAGGGGAGAAAGAGAGAGAGGATTTGCTGAGTTAGAGGGAGGGCAGGCATATTTGTAAGGTTTTTGAAATATACTGCCAAAATGTTCTCCAGAGAGGTTATAATATTTTATTATGCTAGAATGTAAAGAGAGCAATTTTAATCACATTCTTATCAAACTGTTCATTACAATTTTTTTTCATTTTCAAATTCCTATGCTTTTCCTCCCTCTAAAAATATGTCATTATCTTACATTTCATTTCTTTGATTACTGGTGAGAGTCACTAGTTTAATGAGCAATTAATATTCCTTCTTTTTAAAAATACTTTTTGATATTCTTTATGCTTTTTCCTACTGAATTATACTAGATACCAACACTCAGTCTACTATACAGTGGCATATGTTTTCCTATTTTTATATTTATTTAACACAGGAAAGTTTAAAATATTCAGGGATCTCTGCTCTCAGTAGACACATCCTAATTCAAGATATGCACAGTAAGTAATGATATCTCCTTCCCTCATTCTACCTTGTTTTATTTTGTTACACTGCATTCGCTAAAACTTCCCAAACAATGTTCAATATGATGACCCTGGGCTAATTTTTAATAGTATTCAATGTAAGTAAAAATAAATTTCACAGCATGAACACAGGGTATATTTCCCCCTAATATTTCTTAATATTATAAATATTCTGAATATTAATATCTAATATTTACCAATTTCCTGATAATAAACCATTGTTACAAAAATTTTGTTCTTTAAATTAGGAAAAATGTATTATCTGTGGTGTTTCCTGGTAAGGACTGTAATTGGATTGGGAGATTTGGGTGGCTCAAGTAATTATATATGGTTTGTCTAGCACTATCTTATTAGCATTACATACATTACTAACTTTTAGAGATGAAGAAAAATCACAAATTTGTCTCAAAGCCATCTCAAGTACAATTCTGGCTAAAGGAAACAAAAGAGTAATGAAAGAGATATGGCAGAAGATAATTTCACAGAATAAGGTACTACTCTGAGGCTCATGGCACAGAGACTCCCAAGACTGGAAGATTCAACTAAGCATATAGGAATGCCTAGGGAACAGAGTCTCAAGTGTTCTAGGTACACTGTCAAGTTGGAAGCAGAAGGCATCATATATTCAGTCAAGTCCCTTTCGTAAGATGTATGCACCAAATGACCTTTCTTAATGTATGCAAATATTTGAGTCACCAAAAGCCTCTTTTTCATTATTTCTTTGCAGTGAGTCAATCCTTAGAGTGATGATGACATCAGGTCTCTAAACCTAAAAGGCTTAACATTAGACTGTTTAATGATCCACCCAAATCAGAGATGCTTCTCTACTCTTGGCTAGAAAATGTTTTCAAGCAGAGGGAAATTCCAGTTTGTCAAGAAAAAGATAGGGGAGGGCGCCTGGGTGGCTCAGATGGTTAAGCGTCTGCCTTCGGCTCAGGTCATGATCTCAGGGTCCTGGGATCGAGTCCCGCATCGGGCTCCCTGCTCCTTGGGAGCCTGCTTCTCCCTCTGCCTTTCTCTCTTGCTGTCTCTCATGAATAAAAAAAAAAAAAAAAAAAAAAATCTTAAAAAAAAAAGATAGGGGACAAAAAGTGGAAAACATATCCCCTTGAACTCTATATAAAAAGGTCAAACAACTAACTTTTGTTACCTGCACTGTTCCTATCCTCTTTACAGAAACAGGCCTCAGTTGTCTGGGGCTCTAGAATTGGATCAGTTTACTAGGTGTGTGCCGGCAGGACTGGCTAACCTTGAGGGAAAGGGGAGATGCTCTGATCCCTTTTATTAATTTCTCCAGAGAAATTTATTCACAAAGGCAGACTGGGAATTTGCACACATTTCATTTCCTCTTCTTTTACTTCCAAGTACTATTAACATCTTCTGGCAAGGAACTCAGACTTGTAGATCTTGCTAAACAGTGTAAAAGAAAGTCATACTCTGTTAAAGCCATTTGTTTCCCATGAGAAGGCCAAACTGTTACATAATCACATCATGTAAGAGGGATCTCGACATCATGAATGGGTACCTCTAAAATAGACCCATAGAAGGGATTATCCAAAGGGAACCCTACTACCTCAACCCTGATTAATTTGCCAAGGTTCGATAAGTACGAGTCTGGAAAATGATTTGGAAAAACACTGGAGGAAAACATTTCTTTGCACTGTTACCACTGTCACAGTAAAATTTTTTCTCTTTTAAAATTGTGACATATAAAACATATATTCTTCACCAACATGTTTGTTGTTAGAAGGACATATATGTCAAAAGTAATACTTAACACAGGGAAGATCCTCAAATGTTAAATGATCAGATGAATGGTAGACATGAGGTTAGAATAAAATTGAATCAAGGGAAAATGATCATCTCAAATTTTAGGCATGAAACTAAAATGCACATAAAAATATAACCTCCTAAGGAAAAAAGAGACATTTAAAAAGAATCTTGGAGGACTAGAGCATTTATTAGTCTTATGCTTCTCATTTCATTAAAAAAAATCTTACGTAACAGGTAAATGAATTTAAGGAAAAGAATCTCCAGTATCTAGACTTTCAACCCAAAGGCAGAATTTCTAGAATGCTAACTATAATCCTCCTGAATAAAATAAAGAAATAACATACTTGAAGGATGCAGGTACTGACCCCAATAATACACTAAAGATGGGACTTTTTTTAAGTAAGATGATGATGAAAACAAAATCAAAAGACTGCCTCCTGATCATACTTTAACTGCCAAGTACATACTTGTGGAGGGCCTGTGATGTGTCAACAGTGTTCCAAGTGATGAAGATACAGTAATAAAGGAGATGGAGCAAAGTCTCCACTCTCAGGGACTTGCTTATATTCGAGAGAGTAAGTGGAGGTTCATGGAAAGACAATCCATACGGTAAGAAGTTGCACTAAGAAAACACAAGGTAGGGCGCCTGGGTGGCTCCGTCGGTTAAGCGACTGCCTTCGGCTCAGGTCATGATCCCAGCGTCTTGGGATCGAGTCCCGCATCGGGCTCCCTGCTCAGCGGGGGGTCTGCTTCTCCCTCTGACCCTCCTCCCTCTCGTGCTCTCTGTCTCTCGTTCTCTCTCGCAAATAAATAAATAAAATCTTTAAAAAAAAAAAAAAAAAAGAAAACACAAGGTAGTGGTGCAATGGTAGAGATCAAGGGTTAGCACATTTGCTCTATAAAGGGCCAGACAGTAAATATTTTAAGCTTTGCTGGACAAGAGGCAAAATAGATATTTTGTAGGTACATATATAATAAAGGAGAAAATAAGTTTCCACAAAATCTTTGACAAAAATTCGGTATTTGACAATACTGCAAACACACAACATGGAAAGATAAACACAGAGATTTAGGCAACACTGTAAACAGTCACCAAAAGGGGAATGGTTAAATGAAATGTTACAAGCTGTTTAAAAAACTGTGGTAGAACAAACACATTCTGAAGCAGGAAAGTATTCAAGGTATATTGCCAGGTGAGATGGGCTAAGTAGAAGAAAAGTATAGCATATAATTTGGGGTGAAGAGTGGTAAACACATTTTATGTGCACTGAAATTTCTAGAAGGATATATGAATAAACAATAGTTAATTCTGGGGAGTGGAGACTTATATTCTATCCTTTCTCTGCAGTTTGATTTTTCAAAAATGTTATGTTCCTTTAAAATAAAAAATTAATTAAAATAACTCAGACTTTTGTAAAACTGAATCTGAAAGATTACTAAATATTAAAGAAATCAAAAGGTTTGTGCTACTAAATGAAAAAGTAGTAAGCAAAAAGTTCTATAAGCAGACTCGGAAAAAAAAAAATCCAGTTTACAATCCTTTGGGTCACGAGTTCTTTTAGGCCTAATCTAGTATTTAGGTAAAAAATTCCTCCAAAACCTAAGTTACAGAGCAGCATGTACTCTGATTCTAGAACTATAAAAATTTTTCTATTCAAAGAAAATGTTGAAAAGAATACACACCAGTTTACACTGGGCAAGCTTGTAGAGTGGACAGAAAAGTTCTGGCTCCTACTTTATTCAATTCTGTATCATATGACTTTTTAAAAATAATAAAACACTACACAGAAATTTAGCAATGGAATACCACAGTCGGTTTTCAAGATACTTACAGTAAAAACCAAGAGCTGTAGGCAGCAAAAACAAAGCAAAATCACAGAAGAGTCAGCAATCAAAAGCAAACTACTATTAACAGCTTTGACCCTACTTTCTAACAACTTTACACAAGCAGCATAAACATAGCTGAGATCACCAATAAGTTAATCAGACTTGACCGATGTCACACATGTACTGCAATATACACACATGACATACAGTTAACCTAAAATTTGGCGCGGTCATATATAATTTAAGGAAATGATTTTGGAATCAATTGGTAATGAGTATTTTATTCAATATAAACAGCACCATCAACGTGCTTTCATAAAGGTGCACATTTTGGGGTTTAAAAATATAATTTGTAAGTTAAATACCTATCTTATACGTGCTCTTTTATATTGCTGGTACGGACACAGGCTGCAGACTGAGTTTGCAGATGGACTCTCTCTGAATAGTTTTTATAAGAGCATCTTTGGCTCTTCCATTTTTCAATGAGCGAACTGTGCAATCAATCAAATTGACTAGCACTTCCTCTTTAAAAAATCTAAATTTCAGTGCAATGGCCCTTACAGTTTCTAAATTTTAGTAAATTCCAACTTCTTCCCTTTGTTCTCCCAGCTAAATCCCCCAAGTGACTGCTCTCTGTCCCTCTCCCTACAACCATCCCTTATATCCTCACCCCCACTTCTAGATAATGCCACCGACAAAAATGCAGCCATAAACATCATTTATTTTATATCACCTGTCCCTAAATACTCATCTTATGCAAGTATGCATACTTACTTTGTGCTCTGGTAGTGTAATAATATTTCATTTGTGAACATATTGCTGTGGGACACACACAGAGACATGAAAATAAATTCCCATGCTCCTACTGGAAAGCAATATAAGACAGACAATGAAAATGTGCTAAAGATTTCTGGGAAAGGAGGGACTGCCTTCCCAGATAAGGTAACATTTGAGCTATGACGGAACAAGAAAAAATTCATGGGATATGCAGGGAGAGAACACCAAAGGTGGCAAACAGCACAGGCAAAGAAATCACAGTTGTGAAGGTACATACCACACTCAGGAAAGAGAGAGGAGGTGAGAGTGGCAGAATGGCAGAAGAGAAGGCTAGAAAGGGGGTTTACAATCATGCTGTGAAAACTGGACATTAACAATTATTATGTTATTGTTGTAATGTTACAAATCCATTCTGCCTTGTCATGATGGGGTTGAGACTCTGCAAACCACATTCTTCTTTGCCAACTGGCCACCTCTTAAGTTATGCCAAAAAGGGGCACCAAAAGCAACTGTTGGGTTAAAGGAAGAAAAGCCTTGCTGCTTTACGTTTCTTCTTGTGGGCTTTTTCTTCCTGTACCACTCCAGCAACACTTCTTCACCCTGTGGTGGCATTTCTTTCATGTACCAGAAGATGAATCCAGTTTGCACTTTTCCTACCCTTGTGATACCTTAGTGCTTGCTTCTTTACCATTTTAGGTAAACAGTTAACGTTACACCTTGACAACAATCCCTTTTACTAAATTCTGATTAAGTATCTAGAGTGGTTTCTATCTTATGACTGAACCTTGACTAACATAAAAATCACTAGAAATTCCTAAAGCGAAGTAATGACTCATTAAAATCTTTGTTATAGAAAGAACACTGGTAGTCACATAAAGAGAAGGATGTGTCAAAGACAGATTACTGGGTTTTGTACTCGCTAATAATTAAGAGGCAATTGAAATTTTTAAAAAATCCAATGTACAGAATGAATTTCACTGAACTGTGTTTTTATGTTACGTCCAGTTTTTACTCAAGTTGCTATAATGAAACATAAACCTAACTATTACACTTATATTCCCTCCTAATACTGAGATTCATGTAATTGAGTTTCCTCCCTTTTGATACTTAGGGGCTTCAGCATGAAAACTGAAGCTGAATCACGACACCAATCTCTGTAGAGCTACCTTTTTTCTCTCTTCTCCTTGGACCCAATTACACATCTCAGTTTTAGTTGTGTCTTTTACATACCATTTTACATTTCATTTGAGATGAAAGTCATCTCAAATCCTTTCAAGTGACAGACAGATGTACAAATAATTCTTAAAGTTTTTCTTCCTTGTAATGAAATTTTATATTATACTGTTAAGTAACAATTTCTGTCCCTGGGCATGAATAGATGCAGAAAAATTATCTTGATGTCCCATATGACGTTCAAACCCAAAATTTGAACACAAATGAAAAGATGCTATAGTATATTTAATTAATAATACATGACAATAAAACAACTTTAGCTTCAGGTGCTGGGGGAAAAGTCAGTGTTTCCAGAAAATTACTAACACATTTCAGTACACCACAGAGGAAGTTAAGTGAGGCCACTGAGACTACAATAAATTCCCTTATCCTTTTCCACACCCTGGATAACTCGCTTCTTGACTGAGAAGGAGCATCCCTGCTTTCATTCCACTGCCCTAAGGGTTACCAAAAGATACCTAAATGCAATCTCTTTTTTATGTACTTCTATTTCATATTGTAGCAAGTACCATTCCAGCTTATACAAAAAGACACAATATTCTCTTTAGATTTTTGCAGTAAGTCATAACCTTGAGATAAGAGAAGAGGGATTCAAGCAAATCTACTATTTGATACACAAGGCTCAACCACCTAATTTGTCACTTTAGTACCAATATGGCTATATGAAATCACAAACAAAAATTACCTGAAGGATTAGAAAAATCCAACATGCTGGTGGTAGGCTGCAGGAGATCAGGGCTGCTGGATGAGAGTGTTCCAGGAATAGGCATTATAGCCAGACTATGCCTGCAGTGCCTTGTTCCTACAATGCTGTCATCTTGTGACTGGCTCAGGCCTCCGTCACTTCAAAATAATGGCACAAAAAGTATTTGAGAATTCTGAATGGCAAACGTTTCTTTCCTCTGTATACTGAGGCATAGTAAGACCAATTCAAAGTGGTGACTTAAAAAATTATATAGATTACAGCAGTTAAAAAAATAGGACAACTATAATAATGAAGACACTCAAAATTTACTTACGCTAAAAATTTAACTTATACATCTAAGTAATTCTACTACATCATAAAAAAAGTCATACTGAGTTTCTGTTGGTTTTGGTAGAGAAATTAAGCCTGAATGTTTAGGGAGCCTTTAAGATCATCCAGTTTTGGCAGACACTAATATATGTATCCAACAATGTATAACCACACCATAGCAATCTCAACATATTAGGTTTGTGATCTTCTGGGCAAAGGACTGTTGGGTCTAAACCCAAACCAAAAAAAACCCAGCAGGTTGTAGAAAACAAAGGGGCCAGGTCCAAGTGACAAAGTAAGAGAAGTCTTTAAACATATGAACAATCTGAGAACTGCCCAAACCAGTGATAATGTGGAAAAGATAACAGGAAGATGGAACACAGAAGAATAGTGAACACTGGGTACACGTGACAAGTAGAAAGAAGAAAAAGAGGACCACAAATCAAAATAGAGAAAAAAGAATTTTACAGTCTTTTAAGTTTATTCTAAGGCCACATTATTTCTTGTGTGATATCTCAAGTCTTAATTATTTGGCTATTCCCTAGATGAGAACATCAAAACCATAGCAGAAAGCAAGTCATCTAAAGTTAATTCCCCTCAAAGGTTTCAAAAATATCAATTAAATGGCCATATTTAAGCAAATAAAACATCCCTCTTTTAAACTACACTACTTTAAAGGTTGAGAAGCCAGCCCCCAACCCAGCAGGGGTGTGGGACCCGGGATCCAATTTATGGCTTCCTGCCTGGCTCCAGAGGGCACAACAACCTCCTAGGCCTGTTTTCTAGGCTTCTGAGAAAGCACAGGACGAGCAAGACCTGCCACAGTGCACCTGTACCTTCTCAGGCCCCAGAGAGGCTCTGGGCTTGAAGACCGGGAAAGGGGGAAGGGAGTGTCTTCCTTACTTGGGAAGTCAGCATAAGGCCTAGCAAGGCCACCGTGACTCCACACCCCAGAATTTCATTCATTACAGATAATAGCTGCACTACTGCCAAATGACCTTATAATAACCCTGTGTACCTTTGAAAAGATTTATGGTTTTGAATTACTGCTTTTAATAACATTTGTTATATTTAGGTTATACTTAATGAGAAAAATACTTTAAAGGTGTTACACAGGCAGCTCTAAATCCATCTAAGAGAAAAAATTAAAAGAAACTTAACTCTGTCATTTAAACTTTAGATACCCCAAAAAGTCCTACAAAACATAGGATAAATGAAGCAGTCCTATACAAACACAGGACAGCAATGAAAAAGATTTCCATTAGCATCAACGACCAAAACACCATTTATTTCTAAGAGTTAAATCAATCCTTTAGGTTAACATTAATTCTCATCTGTTTTATTCAATGTAGTATTCTATCCAGTTACCTGTTACACATACAGAGGTATCAAAGAATACTTACCTGTTACCATGGAATGGATTAAATGAGTGGTATGGGATACATCCAGAATATGTTAGGAGTAAAAAATAGGACTTAGGCAGATTAGGGAACTATGCCAGATGAAGTGCAGAGGACAGTTAAATAAACAGCTAAAGGATGGCTAACAGCCACACAAGGAAGATAGAGCTAGGACAAGCAAGACTGCAGAGGAGTGAGGAAAAAGCATGAAGACATGGAAGGGAACAAAAGTAAGTGTTTCAAGAGCCAGCTATGCATATAAACTTGGGTTATTAGCTATGTGACCTCAAGGAAATTTCTCTGTTTCTGGACCTTGGTTTCCTCATCTACAAATGTGACTTTCTCCCCCAGGGCTGCCTTAAGGATTAAATTAGGTTATGGAGGTGAGTATTTTGGCACAGAGGAAAATACAATTCTAATTTTTAAGAAGACAGTAAAGTACTTTTACTAAAATTAAGAAAGAACAGTACAAACCTAGAAAGGATTTTAAGCAATTCGTATTGAAAAACAGAGAAGGCAGGGTGAATATAACAGGCACTATAGAAACAGGAAGAATTACCTGGGGAGAGAAGGCAGTCTAATCCGACAGAAATAAAGCTAAGGAAATACAATATCTGATAAGGAATTTGTGCTTATGTTAAATTGGTTCCTTATAATTTGGTGTGCATTGCTAAAGATCAGAGCTAAATGTTTTAAGGTTAGGTATGAGAACAAAAGGAAGGTGGCTTTCACAGAAACTGTACTTATAGCTTTGTAATCTGCAACAATTTAAATTACATGGAAAATATTTTTAAATATAACAGGCTTTCCAATTTAACGGACTCGTGAAAACAAATCTGCCTATTTTTGAACACAGAGGGTCAAGTAACTGAATCCAAAGAAGCAAACTGTTAAAAAGGTTAGCCCGTCCTATTAAAAATCACAGTAGAAGCAACTTTAACAATGTTAAAAAGTTATAATTTTCTATTAAAGGGAACTGGCTGTATTAGTTGCATTAAGATGGAATTCAACATGGAGACTAAGAAAAGTGCATGAAACACTAGAAGTCCTTATCTCTCCTACTGATATTATTTAACATTACCTCTGCTTTTTAATAAGCAAAGACAGTACACTGTACAGATATAATAATGTAAAGCTGGTTACAAATTCATGGTAATTAAGGTGTGAGCATGTATAAATGAAAACTATACTAATGTCATGTACAACTCATGCTATGACATGAATGAAACAGTATCTAATTAGCAAAATATCCATGCTTTTTTGGAAGCTGAATTGATAAAGCCCATTTGCAAATAATTATGTCATTTCTTACCAAAACAGTCTCCTGAGAAGATGATGCAGTAACAGAAACAAGATAGTTTTGAAAAAATTCCTCAATAATTCCCCAACACTAAATTTACTTAGAATAAAATTGTATTTTAGTTTCACATTATGAAACTAAAAAGGCTATGTAAATATCAATATGCAAATAAAAAATAATTCCAATATTAAAAGCAAACAGAGTATGCTGACAAAAGATAGTGAGAAAAAGTAATTTCTGATAAGCAAACAAGACAGTCTACTTCTGGGACTGTTACAAAGAATAATACGAAGCTGTTACTTAGGCAATTTGTGATTTAAAAAAACCTAAAAGCTGAGTGATTTAAAAAAAATAGGACATCAGATTTCCTAAATGTGAAATATTCTCAAGTCAATACACTGCTATGTCTTTCACAGAGGTTATTAAAATTAGCAAATTTTTTCCACTTGTAATTTTCAGGATAATTCTTTCATTTTAAAATTATGTCACGGTTAGGGATTTGGGGAATTATCTATTCTCATCTCAACTATTTGTTCCTGCCTTCCTTTCATAATTCTTTTGCCTATCTGACAGATGTAGATACTCTTTCTTCCAGTATTTCTAAGAATGAGTGCTGCAAAAGGCGGAGACCAAGCACCCCTTCCAAAGAGCCTGACACACAGGAGACTGTCAGGATTGTGGGATTAAATTCATTAAAGTTTTTTTCTCACTTAAAAAATATTCAAAGTAGAAAAATTTAAAAATACAATGAACAAGCAAGGAAAAGAAAATTATGTGTAACACCACATCCTAGAGAAAATCACAATCAACATTTTTTCTTCTAGTTACTTTTACAGAATATAGCACAATCTATTTAACTAATCTCTTATAGCTGGACATCTAGGGTATTTCCTTTTTTGTTTCATTACAGATAATACTACTATGAGTAGTATTATCTGTATATAAATCTTCACCTAATTATTAGAAATGGAATTAATGACTCAAAGGTATGAACGTTTTTAAAACTCTCAATAAAAAAATGCCCAAATGCTTTATGGAAAGGTTACATCATTTCATATTTCCACAGCTGTCTGAGCTATCTATTTGATGTTATCAATTGGGGCCCTGACTATTCTCTTGTCAATCTATGATGAAACAAATGGTCCCCTGTTTTAAAAATAAATTGTGTATCCTTGATTACTATTGATGCAGCACAGATGATTCATGTTCTCTATTTTTCCATTGAAGTTTCAGTGATTTTTTTGTTTATTAAGTTACCTGAAAGTGCCAAGAAATAGATACATTCATTCTCAAAGCCGCTAAGCAACCAGTTTGACAAATCAGTTCTTTACACAAAACAGGCTGCAGCAGCAGAGAACCTTTATGATTTCTATTAAAATAACCTGTTGGTTTTTGTGGGTTTTTTTGGCATTTATATGTCTGAAATTATTAGCATTTTACTTCACTGAAACATATTTAGAAGAGATAGTTTAATATTAACTTCTGAAGTGCAGTGTTTTATTAATGTTTTGCATTCACAGCCAACAGTCTCCTATTGGCACAAGAAACTCAATACATCACTAAATGAAAAAAAAATTCCCTTCTCAGTTAACCATTTCTACTAGATCTTTCATTTTAGGGGGTTACCAATATAAAGAAATAACGCTTGAAAATACTCAAATGACTGCTCCTGGCTACATTAATTTCCATGACTCCCACTGTAACCAAAGAGAGAATCCAAGCGTAAAACCAGTTCCCACTCCCTGAAGGAGATACTGTGGAGATGAGTTAGCTGCCTGAAACTTGAATACAGCTGGTTGGAATCTGACTCTAAAAAGCTATAGTCAGTTACAATCACTATTCTCTGGTTCTAGAGAACACATGTCACAATTATACCACTGTTCAAAAATGAAAACCAGTTAAAGGAGATATATGTATTCTACACCAAATCCACCAGGGTTTCTAGCAATGGGACTCAGGGCATTACCTCCTGAGAACTCCCTTTGCGAACTCTTTTCTGCCTTCTGGTCCTCCATTCACTTCCCTTTTGCTCATTGCCTTCCTGCAGACTTGTGGTCATCCAAAACTGTCTGCCATCTTTACACTGTGAGCTAGCCCCACGTATATTCTCCTTAATTCTCACTTATGAGAGTAACACTTTTCTTACAGTGTTTGCTGTCCTGCTGTCACACTACAGTATGCTCAATATTAAAAGAACTTCGGCCATTTTAAAATTATCATTTTTATAAAACTACTTGCCTCAAGGAGAGCAGTCACTAAGAAACAATGAGTAGTAGACTTTGTAGAAATGAGTGACATTAAGAACAGAGCTCGGGATATGTCAATTCTCTGTGAGCCCCAAATTAAATGAAGAACAAATATGTTTCCTGACTGGAAGTAAGAACTCAAAAAGAAGAGCATTTTCTGATCAGGCAACCTTTGAGATTTTGAACTTTAAAAAAGTTGAGAGTTGACATTTACCTATTTCCAAGTTGCCTCCTAATTAGTGTCCTTGCTATTACTACTACACTTGTGCTGCACATTCAACCCCAAACCACCAAATACAACTAACAGAGCGTCTATGGCTCCCTCCTATGACATGATGAAGTCCGTATCTTTAGCATAATATTCAAAGTCCTTCATAACGTAGCACTTACCTAACTCTCCTGCTTCATCTCTAGATGTACACACACAAATATACTCTACCTCAACTACCAAGCTTGTTCCTTCTGCCTTTGTACATATCAAAACATTTATCACTCTGTAATGTCTGCTTTCCCTATTTAGATCATCAACTCTTGGGAAAACAAGAAACTTGCTCTATCTTTGTACAGTTCTACATTTGGACACTGTGCCTAAGTGTATAATAAGTGTGTGGAAAATAAAGGGTTCGTGATATGAATTCCTTAGAGGTAGGGACTACCTCTTTTTAGCTCTATAATTATCACTGGGCATAGTGCTAGGAAGCATCAGGAGCCAAATAAATATTTCCTTTGAGTACGTTTTACTTGAATATTCTTTTTTCTCTTTCATTCACTGTCTTAAATTATTCAACAAATATCGAGTACCTACTATGTGCTAAGTACTGAACTTGCTTAGAACTTCTGTGATTGGCTTTAAGAAGCAGATAATGTAAAATAAATAGATATAATATATGCTAGACTCTTTCCCAGTCGTGACACTTTAGTGAACTGATTTCCTAAGTATTTTACAGACCTCAATTTACTTTTAAAATCTCAAAGTTTCATTCAGTTTTGGTGACATCTCAATTTAGAAACAGGAACAGATTTGATTAAAAAGGTCATTTAGAATTCAGGAAGGAATAAATAGTACAGTAAGAGAAAGATGATTTAGAAGACAAAAAAGCTAGTATCAGCAAATGTATCCCCAAGATGTCCAAATTTATAGATCAAAGGACTGAAATTAGACCAAAAACACACCAGAAAAGATTTCATAAAATAAAGGGCAGTCTTTCCTAAAATTCAAAACAAAGCTACTGGAAAAACATATAATCTAGCACTGGTAACGTCACAGAAACGATGGAAAGATACTGAGAATTTATTTTCTTATTTATGGGTTACTCACAGATTTTATGATGCACTGGTTGTATAAAAACCAAAACTGACCCCAAATTCCCTTCCCCCAGATAAAATTTTACAGGCAATAGGAAAAGGCCTACATGACGAAGATTAGCGTTACCTACCTAAACAGTTTTGGAGGTAAGATACTAAACCGTGTTTTATCCAAAATTTTCCTGATTTTGTTTCTTCCACCTGAAACAGTGTTTGCTTTTATTTTCTTATTTCCTTTCTCCTGTGATGTGTGTTCAATATCTCCTGGTACATCCTGGATTGAATGGCGATTACTTTTTTTTTCAGCAATTTTAGGAATATGAGGAATACCAGATTTTTCTTGTTCAGTCCTACTAAGTAACTCTTTGAACACTGTGGAAATAAATAAATAAACTTGTCATTTCTTCTCATTAACAAGATTTTATAGGAACAACAAATTTGAAAGATAAACAGTCACTTTCTACTACTTGGCCTTGCAGACTCATTCATTAAACATTATGAAATTTATACCCTTCCTTCATCAGCCATATCCACTTGTCTCTTCAGTTTTTTAAGACTTTAAGTCATCTCTATACCCAACTTGGGGTTCAAACCCATGACCCTGAGATCAAGAGTCATGTGCTCTACCAAATGAATCAGCCAGGCACCCCTAAGAATATATTCCAATTTTTTAAAAAGTAGGCTTCATGTCCAGCTTGGGGTTCGAACTCATGACCCTGAGAATAAAGAGTTGCATGCTCTACCAATGAGCCAGTGAGGCACCCCTCTCTTCAGTTTTTATAACTAACCATACTTCTGATACTGTCCAAAAGTGGTAAAAGAAAGTCACTGGCAAAAATGGAACAGAAGTGGGCAGGTAGCATGTTTGGAAAGTCCAGGGCTTCCTATTTACCAATAATTGCTATGTAATAATAATAAGCAATAAAATTGCTAATCAACTCAGATCTTATAGAAACAAGTATTTAGATTTTATTATTTACATGTTATTCCTTATCATAACATATAACATTTGAGATGAGATAGAAGTACTGCAGTCAGGTTCAGTTTTGTAAAATTTAGCCAATTAAAAAAAAATAGTTTGGCTGGACCTGTTTTTACCAGAGATAAACAGTACTAAATTTAATAATGACAATTTCCTCAAGATCACATTTATGAGAATTCTGTCACTGTTTACTCAGCTAATAAACACTCACTACAGTGGTTTGAAGCAAACAACTAATTATTCTTAGGTAACTTCATGTTAACAGGAAGACTGATGAGTTATTTCATCCTTAAGGAAAAGTGAAAGCACATTGGAAGAATTGCCTGTCTCACAATCTCTTTGCCTAGATCAGATTTTCACCTTGTGAGAGGGGCTATATCTCCTTGGGATCAGGTGAAAAAAAGACTAATCTTTGTAAGACTTTGTATCTAGTAACTACATAACTAGTATAATTAGTAATTAGTGTCACCTTTCCCAGTTAGGATAACCTATATTACCTACGTTTCATTAACTAATGTCATGAAAAAATTTTTTTGTTGTTTTAAATATGTATTCTTAAATAAGATCAACTACTAAAGGGAAAAAACAAACAAACAAACAAAAACCTAAAAAGATTAATGCTAACACAGAAAGTAACCCCTTCCTAAAAACTCATGGTGTCTGGGAGGGTCTGAATCAAAGAAAAATGAAGCTACATATTCTTGAATATGCAGGTCTTCAGAAGGTATAGCTTTGAGTAGTACTACTTGGTACCTTTATAGAAGAAAAGCTGTAAATTGTATAAATATGCCCACTGAAAACAGAGAACTGTGATCTTTTTTTGTTGTTCTGGGGATAACTCAACAGTTTCCTTCAACATCAAAGGAGTTACAAGTAAGATTCCAAAAGACAAAGGCTTAAAAATTAACGCATTACAACATAAAATAGCTTGGTATTCAGTTGTAGAAGTGGACCATCTTGAAAGTTTCAACCAGGATGATATTACACCAAAGCATATATATATTTTTTTTACACCAAAGCATATTGAAAGTTTATGAAAAGCACGTTTTCTGCCTTCAAAATAATGGGAAATCTTTAGAAGCCACCTTGTAAAGATATTTTGCTTGATTATAAAGCAATAAATTCCTTTTACTTTCCTTTGAAAATTATGCTTTATTTTAAGCCATGTGGTAAAGGTAAAAATGCCTTTTTGAGCTAAAACTGATATGCAGTCATGCATAAAAATATTTACTGACCTATGAAGAACATATGTTAGGCAGATTCCCCCTGCTGTAGAACAGGAAGTTTAAGATACATGGCACAAAAAGAACATAATCTAAGGGATTAAGATAGCAGGAAAGGGAAAATCCTCCCTAATTAAGTCACTGTGTAAGAAGAGTTCAGTAAGGTGAGTAGATTTTAACTAGGCAAAGGGAGGGGAAGGAGGAATGACGCTAGGTAGAGGAAATCTCAAGTTCCAAGTCCCTGTCGCAAAAGGAAACTTAAAGAAAATTAAGATGACTGGGGAACAAGGTAGACGAGGGGCCTAAAAATGCTATGGTGAGGTGTCTGAATTTCCTATGAAGAGCAACAGGAAATCTTTAAATGGGCCTCAGATATTCCTGCCTGTGGTGTACATAAGGCAACTCAAGAGCATACAAAAAAGTTTATATCCTCGCTGGACCTGTGTATAATAAAACTGTAGAGATTCTGATTTATAGATGAAGAGAAAAATAGTGAATTTTAAAAATTAGTTAAGATTCAGGACAAAAATTAATAGAAAGTGAGTAAATGTAATTACAATGCCATTAAAGAGCAATATTAAATATATGAATCAGAAATGAAGGTGCCCGATAATCATAAATCTGATTAAAGATTAAAAATTTCTCAGTCTCTACATATATGTATGTACGTTTACACACTTACACACACACACACAACACACCACAAGCATACAAAGTCAAAAGACAACTTGGGGAAATATCTGTTACCTTTAAGGCTAAAAAGCTACTGTCCTTTTTTTATAACACATTCACACAAATCAATGAAAAATAAGACTGTGTGAAAAAGAAATGGTAACATGTAAAATAGGTGCTCAACTTCTCTCATCATGAAATATGCATCACTGATGGATTCCCTGGGGAATTCTACCAAACATTCAAAGAAGTAATACCTATTCTCCTGAAGCTGTTTCAAAAAATAGAAACAGAAGGAAAGCTTCCAGACTCATTCTATGAGGCCAGCATTACCTTAATCCCCCAATCAGGCAAAGACCCCCATCAAAAAAGAGAATTTCAGACCGATATCCCTGATGAATATGGATTCCAAAATCCTCAACCAAATCCTAGCTAACAGGATCCAACAATACATTAAAAGGATCATCCACCACGACCAAGTGGGATTTATCCCCAGGATGCAAGGGTGGTTCAACATTCGCAAATCAATGTGATAGAACACATTAATAAGAAGAGAGAGAAGAATCATATGGTCTTCTCAATTGATGCAGAAAAAGCATTTGACAAAATACAGCATCCTTTCCTGATTAAAACTCTTCAGACTACAGGAATAGAGGGAACATTCCTCAAGTTCGTAAAATCCATCTATGAAAAACCCACAGCGAATATCATCCTCAATGGGGAAAAGCTGAGAGCCTTTCCCTTAAGATCAGGAACATAACAAGGATGCCTACTCCTGCCACTATTGTTCAACATAGTACTAGAAGTCCTAGCAACAGCAACCAGACAACAAAAAGAAATAAAAATTATTCAAAATGGCAAAGAAGTCGTCAAATTCTCTCTCTTCGCAGATGACATGATACTTTATAGGGAAAACCCAAAAGACTCCACCCCCAAATTACTAGAACTCATACAGCAATTCAGTAATGTGGCAGGATACAAAATCAATGCACAGAAATCAGCTGCTTTCTTACACACTAACAATGCAACTGTGGAAAGAGAAATTAGAGAAACGATTACATTTATAATAGCACCAAAAACCATAAGATACCTCAGAATAAACCTAACCAAAGAGGTGAAGGGTTTAGACTCTAGGAACTACAAAACACTCATGAAAGAAACTGAAGAAGACACAAAAAGATGGAAAAATATTCCATGCTCATGGATCGGAAGAATAAACATTGTTAAAATGTCTATGCTACCCAGAGCAATCTATACCCTCCACGCCATCACGATCAAAATTCCAATGACATTTTTCAAAGTGCTGAAACAAACAATTCTAAAATTTGTATGGAATCAGAAAAGACCCTGAAATCACCAAGGAAATGTTGAAAAAGAAAAACAGAACTGGGGGCATCAACGCTGCCTGATTTCAAGCTATATTACAAAGCAGTGATCACCAAGACAGCATGGTACTGGCACAAAAACAGACATATAGACCAATGGAACAGAATAGGGAGCTCAGATTTGGACCCTCAACTCTATGGTCAAGTAATCTTCGACAAAGCAGGAAAAAATATGCAATGGAAAAAAGACGGTCTCTTCAATAAATAGTGCTGGGAAAACTGGACAGCTATATACAGAAGAATGAAACTTGGCCATTCTCTAACACCATACACAAAAATAAACTCAAAATGGATGAAAGACCTCAATGTGAGACAGGAATCCATCAAAATCCTAGAGGAGAACATAGGCAGTAACCTCTTTGACATCGCCCACAGCAACTTCTTTCAAGATACATCTCCAAAGGCTAGTGAAGCAAAAGCAAAAATGAACTTTTGGGACTTCATCAAGATAAAAAGCTTCTGCACAGCAAAGGAAACAGTCAACAAAGAGGCAACCCACAGAATGGGAGAAGATATTTGCAAATGACACTACAGATAAAGGGCTGGTATCCAAGATCTATAAAGAACTTCTCAAACTCAACACCCAAAAAACAAATAATCAAGTCAAAGAATGGGCAGAAGATATGAACAGACACTTCTCTAAAGAAGACATACAAATGGGCGCCTGGGTGGCTCAGTTGGTTAAGCGACTGCCTTTGGCTCAGGTCATGATCCTGGAGTCCCAGGATCGAGTCCCGCATCGGGCTCCCTGCTCGGCAGGGAGTCTCCTTCTCCCTCTGACCCTCCCCTCTCTCATGATCTCTCTCTCTCATTCTTTCTCTCAAATAAATAAAATCTTTAAAAAAAAAAAAAAAGACATACAAATGGCTAACAGACACATGAAAAAATGTTCATCATCATTAGCCATCAGGGAAATTCAAATCAAAACCACATTGAGATACCACCTTACACCGTAAGAATGGCAAAAATTGACAAGGCAAGAAATGACAAATGTTACAGAGGTTGTGGAGAAAGGGGAACCCTCTTACACTGTTGGTGGGAATGCAAGTTGCTACAGCCACTTTGGAAAACAGTGTGGAGATTCCTCAAAAAATTAAAAACAGAGCTACC